GGCCCCCACTCACCCGCAGGCGCCGCCGCCGCCCGGGCCGTTGCTGCCCCGCTCCGGGCGCGCGCGGCTCCTCGCGCGGGCCGGGGGACCTGGGGGGGGGGTCACGCGGCGCGAGGCGCGCTCCCCACGCGACGCGCAACCAGGAGCCTGCTTGTCCCCATCGGCTTCCCGTAAGCGCTGCCGGGCCGGGGACTGCGCGTCACGTGACTTCAAGAGGGCGGAAGCGGTGCCCGCATCGCCTCACATGCGGGGAATGCCCTCGGGCATCCATTTTTAGTGAGGGAAGGCGGGCGGCGCCACGCGCCATGTTACGCAGAGGTCGCTCCCATAACCGTCTGAGCGCCCCGGCTATCCCGTTCTGTCTTATATATTGACTTGTCACACAACGCAGCTCTAACCTCTGTGACACGGGCTTATAATCCTTCTGAAACTGACCGTTTATTTTTTTTCCCCACACAGTGATAGGCAAGTCACTGCATTTCCTCAACCTTAAAAAAAAAAAAACAATCCCACATGAGGTAACTCGGTACCCAGAGGTGCTTTTGGCCACACATCACTTTTAATACTGATGCAACCGTTTTCCCCGAGGCTGCAGGAAGGCCCCTTGCCCCGTGGCGCCCCAGAAAGGAGGTTTTTGGGGGTCCCAGGCCCCCACTGCCGCCCAGAGCCCGGCTGCTGCCGGACAGGCCCAGATGCAGCGGCTGCGCTTCCTACTGGGCTTTGCCCCTTAGTAAGGTGTAGCATAACCATTACTTTTACAAGGTATCCAAGGTAGATCGGGGGTGTTATCCTAAGATTGAAAGCAGCCCCAGCAGTTATTCCAGCGTAGTTTCACATTGCAAGTCCTGCCTGGAGAGCACGACTCGGGCAGCTGGCCCCACACTTCAGCTCATGTCCGTGCTGACCATTTGCACAGAGCTGTGCCCTGACACTGTCTGCGTCCTTCAGGACACTCTTCCCATCCATCTGCACAAGGAATCCTGACACAAACCCTTTCCTGTGACAGTGTGTCATCTCTCCACCGCTATTCCTGTTTTTCCAGTTCAGTGGTGGCAGCTGCTGTCCTCAAGAGTGTTTTATACACCCATGTGCCCGTATGATTTGCACATTGATATTTTGGTAGTAATAATGTTGCTAAAAAGCATAGACCTGCCTTTTTCTTCCTACCGCACTCTGTTTGCACACAGGATACTCAGATTACCGTCATCACCATGAGGAAACACCATCCTACTCCTCTCCTTGTCTTTTTTCCTCCATCCTCCACAACAGTGGTGGTTTCCTTGGTGGCCAGTCATTCCCCTTCTCCAAGAAGCAAGCTGGGAGCGTGTTCAAGCTTACCTGCTATGTCTCTGTCCTTACACGCTCTCCCTCCTGGCAGCAGCGACTTGCAACCCCCCTGCACATCATGCACACGATTCACCTTCCCCTTGCAGTAAGAGGACAGAGCTCGGCTGCTCCAGCTCCAAACCCCAGTCCTCCACGGGCTCACTGTACAGTTGAAGGAGAGGTCTGGACATCCCACTTGTGTCCCCATTCAAGTGCTAGACATTGAGCACACTATGGAGCAGAAAGAGGGGCTGGTCCTCAGGGCAAGATGCACCTGTTCTCTTTTACTCATGTGACATTATCACACATTGGAGTATTTTATATCATGCCTACACACATGCCTACACACATGCCTAAGAGCATGAGCACTGCAAGGAACAACAAAAAAAAAAGCAGGTGATTTTTTTTTTATAGTCAAAATTATTTTTATTTGGTTGCATTTAGCAGAAGATTTGTCTTCCTCTTTTTTTTTTTTCTCCTTTTTTTTTTTTTCCCCCTCCCCTCTCCATTTTTTTGCCATTCTTTCAGTACAATATATTAACACTTTGCATCTTTTCAGCACTTTCCAGTTAAGGCTCTCAAAGCATTTACATACATGAGCTAATTAATTCTCACAACAATTATTAGCAATAAGAAAGCAAAATGATTTCTCCTGCAGATGCAGATCAAGACCAACATTTTTCAAGTTTCAAGTTTTACTCTGATTTTCACCATCTACCTTTTAATATGCTGGGTTTGATGAACATAAATGTTCCTCCAAATTTTGAGTGTTTCAGGTTTCTTGAAGAAAGCCTGGGGCTGCATGCTCAAAATCCAGAGGTATTTATGGCAATCTTGTAGTGACTTGTAGAAGGCCACACAATAAGGCAGCAACAGAATCCAGAACTGGAATCAAGGGGTAAACTTCCACTTATGGGGAAGTTCTAAGTTTTTCCTCTTTGTAACTTACCTTTGAGTTTAAAGTCACAATATTCTCTTTTCCTTACATATTATACTTTACAGATCATCTCTAGGAGACTTTAACACTAGGTACTTAAATTCTGCACTTTACTAGTGAGTTTTACAGAGGGTCTCCCCAGTCACAGGTTGCATACAGTACACAACGCACTAGTCATGTTTATGTTATCCCAGTCTTAGCAACAAACAAACAACAACTAAAAATCCTCTATGCAACATGTGTGGATTTCATCTCTGAATATTTAAATCGTATTTCACTGTTTTAGAGAAAAATCTAACATGATTATCTTAAAGAACACCCTCATTCCCATCTCCAAACATGATTCAAATGGAATTGAGATTGACAGTGGCATCATGCCAGAAGTGCATCTGCATATTCTTCATAAAACCCTGTAATTTCACAATTACACCTGAAAAGAGAACTACAATAATAAACTGTTCAAGAAAACAGGAATTTTAAAATATCCGCTCAATCCACATAATTCTTGTCTTCAGATTAACTTCCTCAGAAGTTCTATGTTCTACTGACATAGAAACATACAGATAAAATTATTTTCTATTAACAGTGAAAATTCCAGAGACAAACTTAATGCAAGTACTTTAAAATAAACTGAATATAAAATTTAACTTGCTTAAAAAAAGATCTAAATGAGAAATCTTCATTATTTCAATGAATTGCTAGTCTACATTTAAAATGAGGCATTTACAGAGCTTTTTGAATGAATTAAATTTCTATAACACTAAATACTGAAATTGACAGTTGTGTGCAAGTATTAACAGTTATTAACATTTTAAATGCTAACAATACATTTTTAAATAGCCTTGCAAGTGCAATGTTATAAATACAAAAAAAAAAAAAAAATCAGAGCTACAGTTTTATATAAATTATATGAGTAAATGAAAGTGCTTTTCAAGTATTTATAATCATTTACAATTGTATTCTCTTGTATTAGTCAGTGCTCAGATGGTACATTTTAAGTGCCAATTTTTTATTTATTTATTTATTTTTTTTTTAAATTTAAGATGCATGAATTTAACTGGATGGATTAAGGGATTTTATTTCCAGAAATGTTTATGATAAATATTTCAATATTAAATATGGTAAAATGTGTATATTTTACCTTTTGGTGTGTGTTTGAAAATGCAATAAAAAAGGAAGACAGGGATTATCTGGAAGGGTGTGTGCTAAACTGATAATGCCCTGGGAGCCCTTGAGCCATACACTAACTGCAAATTCCATCAACATTTCAAGTTACGATAGTTCTTTGTCAGTAGAGACAAAAGCATGCAATCATAATAAAGGCCCAATACTGTCAACTTGTTAGGAAACTAAAGATTTTTATAATGTTTGCCAAAAGCCACTGAATCTAAAGACCTTCCAACAGCTTGGGTTAGCCTACCAAGCAGAGCAGAGCCACCCTTCTGGCTAGTAAGGAACCACTGTTATTGCAGGGATACAAAAAAACGTATTCCTGTTTCTCAGCCACAAGACGGATAAGTGGGGAGATACTTGTTTATTAGACAAGAAAACCAAACCAAAACAACCCTAAATGAATCAATATATATTTAAAAGTGCACTGAAAAGCAATTTCCTATTGAACTCCATCTCTCTCAAATGCCAGATTTTTATCTTAAATTATATCTACTTTGAACACTGAACATCTGTAAGCTGATATTACAGCATTTAGTTTGTCTTGCAGATTGAAAAGCACATGGTACAAGGCAGCATTAACATCCTTCATTAAAGTTTGCCAGCAGTGCCACAGTGTTATCATGAAGATGCTCAGAAACGACACAGTTCAGGAGAAGTCCCTGCGGGACTGCTGTTGCAAGCTTATTCTAACAAAGTGCTTTGTCATTTGCCAAAGGAAAAAGGTCATACCGTTGCCCTACCTCACCATAGTGCTGCACTGGCAATTTATAATTTTCTTTCCAGATGCAACTGGGCTTTAATAAGTTAGAGCTCTTCAGGAGTAGGCTTTATTTTTACTATTTTTTCCCCCTCAAATAAAAGCAGTTTGCTGCTCCATCAGCAAGGCCCATTATTTAGACTGGTATTTTCATGCAGACCTGACAGCGGCTTATGATGTTTTCTAATTCTCCTGCTTTCAAAGTCTGTGGCAAAGGTTTCCTAAAAAAGAAAAACAAACAAACAAAACACACTTTTTTTTTTCTCCTTAAAAACATTTGGAAGCACTGCAGAATATTACCATATTCTTCTGCTCTTTTGTCTACTCCTCCTCTGCCCTCACACCTTCCCCATCTCTTTTACTCAGGGTGTTCCTTGTCCTGAACACTAACTTGATCACTACAGAAATCAGAAGGTACTACAGTGACATAACTGTGAACACAAGCACATTCAGACATTTAAATGGGGTTGGCTGCAAGCACTCAGGGTCTTCATGTTCTTAAAAACGCATTTCCCCCTTCTTTTGAGTTACACACATGGAAATTCAAATCCTTGACTCATTGAGGCCTTCCAGCACTGCAGAACGACTTTAAGCCTAGCCCAGGGAGATGTCTAATTTGAGGAGAATTATTAGGGGAGCCCTCTAATGTGAGGCTAATAGGCTCCTGGCTCCTCAGACACCTGCAGCATGATGTGGCAGGAAAGATGCAAGAAATGGGGAAGAGTTAAGCTGCCAGGAAAGTAGGTTGTACCTGAACATTCTTCTTGGATTTAGTGAAGCCAACCAGAAGCTGTAGGAATTTGTGTAGTAGTTGCATGTCCCCCTGCCATGGCACTCAATGAATGGGATGGCTCGAAATTCTTCCAAGCAAGACCCAGGTGATGCCAATGCTTGTCCAGAAGCTTCTGAGCCAGCACTTGTGTACTGTAAATATTGAATAAGAACTCGTCCATCACCTTTTGGTAAAATCCAAACAAAACAAACAAACCCCTCTCCCAAACATCAAAATCTACCAAACCTACGTAGGTAAGGTGGTACAACTCAGACAAAAAGTGCACATACATTAAGTTTTATCAGATTTCCTTATGAAAATTCAAGTGCAATTTTTGAAGCACACTTCTTAAGCCCCTTTAAATAACTTTTTCCTTCTCTATGAAAAGGTTTGAGACCAGAGAGACATACTAGAGAGTAGTTGGCATTTGTCCAATTGAAGACCAAATTATGAACAGCCAAATCTCCTAATTGGTCTTTGTTCATATTTTTGTTGTATTGATTACTTCTGCAAATGCAAAAATCAAAGAAGCATTTTCCCTCACTGATTTTGGTAAACGTCTACAGAAATGCTCCTAGAATAACTTGTGGCAGCAGAAAACTGCCTACAAACTACAATTAAAATAGTTGGCGCTTGAAATAAGCAAATTATTTTAACCAGATGCCTTTACTCTCTCTCTCTCTCTCTTTCTCTCTCTCTCTCTCTTTTCTCGCTGCCTGAAACTGTGTTTCATAGAGCTTTGTGTGATGCATGAGGATGAGACATAGCAGTTATTTTTGTCAGACTGAAATTCTACAGTTTTCCTTTAATCAATTTCCCCTTCTGTCCTGTCATCTATTATTGAGGGCAGATAAGAATAGTTGTTCCTATGCTTCTGATATTAAGTAACAGCTAATGGAATTATTGACCATTTCTATGGAAAGAAAATTTTAGCTATTAAAGAAATAAACAACCTAAGACAAGATGAAAACATCAATGAAAGTGAGAAGAAATAGATCATTTTTGGCCTTTATACCCTTACCATAACAAAAGAAAATCCCTTCCAGAGAGAAGTCCAACCTTCTGGGCATGCAGGAACTACAGTTGTTTGGCTGTGAACTGCTATTACCATTGCAGCTCCTTCACAGACAACACACCTGTATGAAGGAACACAAAGGGACTCAGCGCAGAGATGAGGGAAAACACGTAAGGGCACAAAATGCTCCCCTGCACCTGTGAGTATAGAAACCACCTTCATGGTGGTTCATCATGGACTTCATATTAAATGTAACTGGAAGTAGCGCTTGTTTTGTACCACATTCCAAATACTAGTTGTCTTTATTTTAGATTAGTTCACCTCTAATTTTTTTTTAATCTAACTTTAATCAAACTTTTCTTTGGGTATCATTGAACATCTGAAATATTCAGGTAATAAATCAAAAATCAGGTGGCTGAAATCTACATTGTACTGGCTAAGACAGGCAGCTCTGGGATCTACTGTTTAAAATAAATTATGTTGGCTGGGTGGTTCCAGGTCAGAAAAACCCAGATTCTTGCTCTCTTACCTGCTTATATAGGGTTCTAGAGCTCTGCCAGAAATCGGTGCCATGTCTACTGGCATCGTTGCTGCAGCTGACAGCCAGTATGAGTAATCATTGCGAGAAGCAAAACTGCAAACATTATTGGTGTTACAGAACAAGAATGGCATGGTGGTAAATCGCTGCAAGCAGCTACCAGCTGTTCCTACAAATGAAAGAGAAGACTTCATGATAAATAGGAAATTATATTTAGTTCAACAATCAAATGAGACCTGATGGGATACAGTCTACTATGGTGAGATTTTTAAAAGTTGGTATCTGTAAGAAGGGGAAGAAAAGTGTGTTTGCAGAGTGCAATTATACAAAAGCAAAATGCTTACATTTAGTATATAATACACACACACAAGCACACAAAGGGCTAAGAAAAAAAAAGTTTGTGTTAAAACACAGTAATACCTTGCTGCATTGTATCAGCCTTTGACAGAGCAGCAGGGATACAGTCACCTGAACACAAGCTTCTGGTGTGACTTCAGATTCCCTATAGTATCCTATCTGGCCTCCAGGAAAGCAGGGTTCCTGCCTCGATCCTTTATCATTACTGCCAGCCCTGTGCACATTTCTCAACCATTACCTTGCAGACACCTCTGCGCCAGTAACTCAATCTCTCCTGAAAAGCATCTAGGGGTAGCAAAGGTGGAGTACAGGAGTGCAAGAGAAAAACCTATCTTTCAAGCCACAATTCCTGCATTTCCTCAGAGCTGTGGAGCTCTCTGGAGACTGTAACTAATGTTACTTCAAGTGCTTTTTGTGAGTTTGGTTTCCGGAAGGCAGTGTAGCATTACATTCTACAGAAGCATTACTGCACTCTACAGAAAGTGATGTGAAAATTTCCACTTAGAGTACCAAGGTCTTGTCCATGTGCTCGTTCGTTTCCTTGTACAAAGAGCAGTGAATAGCCAACATAGATCTGTGATGTCCCATAGGGGCACGCAGGGATCTTGATGGACTGGCTATGCCGAGTAAAGATAAAACCTCTTCTTGCTGGACCAGGGACAATAACACCTGGAGAACCAGGTAACCCCTGGAGACCTGGAAAGCCAATCAGTCCAGGTGGTCCTGTGGAAGGAAAAACACAAAAATACAAATATTATTACTTTGCTTGCATTCTTGCTTTATTAAGTTAACATAGTCACTCAAAAAAACAAAAAACTAAAAAAATTAGTAGGAAGATTCAGCCTGAAAATTGGTAGCATTTCTTGTTACATATATTTGCTCTTTTAGACCAGGATTAGGTATGCTTACATTACACAATTTTGTGAAATAATGAAACATTTAAAGAATCATGGCCCTCCTTATTGAAGGGCTGTAGAATAAAGACATTTTTAGTGACCAAGTAAATATTTATTATATTGTATATTTATATTTGATATATAAAAATATATGTATATTTGAATAATTACATTAATAGTTCTTCTATATAGAATACTGATACTGATTTAAATGGATTTTCAAGTGCGCAAATAAACGGAGTTGGGTAAATTTCAAGTGAGTAGACAACACAGCAGCACAGCCAAGCCATATTTTTGGAAAAAAAAATGCTGCAGCAGTGCTGACCATATACCTGCTGAAAACTAAGTGTGTGCTCACACATTCTTAAGGCCCTCAAGAACTGAGGAAGACATAGAACATCTATACATATGAAAGAAAGGATTTGAAGAAATTGAGAACACAGTCTTCTCCGAAAATTTGGTAGCACACATCAAAAATGTCTTGTTTGTTGTACCTCTTTGTCCTGGAAAGCCCCTGTCTCCTTTCGGACCAGGCAATCCTGGCTGACCTGGACTCCCATAACTTCCTGGTAGGCCTTTTAGTCCTTTAGGTCCTAAATTATAATCAGGAAAAAAAAAACACAGCTATATTGTGGTATTTTTTTCTAGATTCTAATAACAATTTATGATTTTTTAAAATGAAAACAGCTACACTATAATAAAATTGTGAACATCAATTTGCTAAGCTTTGAGACTTGATGTTTACACTGTTACTTTCACTATGTTTCTTATGAGGACGATGACAGGGCACTATGGAATGTACTGCAGAAAAATATTCTCATGAGAATGGTTGCAAAAAATCAAAAGGAAACAGCTCTCTGCTCTAATATTTGTTGCACAGTAGGAATATTTCAAAAATACAACAACAAGCCATAGTCATCTCAGAAACTGTCCACACTTCCATAAACAATGCAGCTTCTTTGCAAAAATAACTGCAGCAGGACACTTCTATACTGGTCTCTCTGCTATCCCTGGGGGAGCTCTGCCTCCTACTGCCAGGTCCGGCTCCCGGAGGACCTGCCTCCTGCTATCAAAAGCTGTGGAGTGAGAGAGTACATGGAGAGAGCACATCCATTCCTTGCTCCTTTCTCTCACATTGCTCACGGTGGTGGCAGGCTTCATTTCTAGTGCTACTTGCCTCTCCTTCTCTTCTACCTCCTCAGGCAAATAGAGGGAGGATTTCTTTCTAATGGTATTTTTATTACCCGTGGTAATTTTCTCCTCAAGATGAAAAACAGAACGAGCATGACCCTGCTCTCATGAAAACACTAAGTGTTTCATCTAAACTTTTATTCCATTATTTTGCCTAGCCTTATGTTGAGGGAACTGCTTCATCACTCGCAGACTGTACGGGTAGAACAGTCCCCAGCTGCAGATGCTCAGCAGGACACATGAAAGAGACAGGTTCTGAAGATGAGGCAGTTAACATGGTACCATTTGCTACTCTTAAATAGAGAGGTATTCTTAAAGACATGTTGATTTGGGGTGCAGAAATGTGTTCTCCTGCAAATCAACATGTTTCATTAAGCAACACAGATAAACATGTGCGGGGATTAAAAACAAAAATAAATAAATAAATAAATAAATAAATAAATAAACCCACCTTGTAGGCCAGAAATCCCCTGAATTCCTTGATCACCTGGTGTTCCTGGTCTTCCAGGCAGTCCAGGAGCCCCCTTGTTTCCTGGGACAGAGAATACTTTCCCAGGGACTCCAGGTGGCCCTAGCACCAAAAATATAAATCTAATGAAAAGCTAATTCTTTTACACTAAAAAATAAACAAAGAAACAAGAAATCAAACAAAAGAAATCCCCCAAATATGGAAACAACCCACACAGCTAAGCTAAATCAGCTTGTACTGTAACAAAAAGGATTGTAATAACATATTACCATGTTGTCCCTTTGGTCCCCTTGGCCCTTCTGCACCCTGTGGTCCAGGAGGTCCTTGATTACCCTTTTCTCCTGGAAAAGGAGATTGGAGACACACCTGGTTTGAAGCGTTAAAACAACTGCCAAAGGTACAGAGGCTTGCTCAAGAGTCCTGCACGATCCATGCAACCTTCCCAAAGGGGAACAGTCAGCAGACTCACATGAAATACTTGAGCGCTACAACTTTTCTGTTAATTCTATCATTTATGGGCCAAATGCAGTCAGTTTACAAGATGTTTTCATGCCTATCTTCATATAATAGCCAGTCCCATAAGCTTGGCTTAAAATGAATGAGAACATAATTGGGTCTATTAAGACTGCAAACAGAGGGCCAGGGCTTTGTACTGCAATTCTGATTAATGCTGTTGAGTTCTGTAGCTAAGGGGTTGCCAAAAAGCAGATCTTTTATCAGTCGTGTGGCATTTCATGCTAGCAGACTCAGTCCAAAGTCCTTACGCTGCATTAGTCACTGGTGAGCACTAGGGACAAACTTGTTTTGATGTAGTCTGTAATGGAGGCCGTTAAAGTTCTAGCCCTTTCTCAATTGAGCATCAGGCATACCCATAACACTGAACTCAAAGCAAATTACATCTGATCAAACCTGCTCCATTAACAAGGGATCTCCTTTATAGCTGACCTACATCCTGCTCTCTTTATAGGAAAGGTTTATGTCTAACACTACTATAATAACAAAACATTTATTTAATTACATTTGACATATAGAAGAATATAAAAGGGATGAATACCTTTTACACCTGGGAATCCAATAAATCCAGGATCTCCTCTAGCACCAGGAAAACCTGATCGACCTTCCATTCCCTGTAAGTCAGGTAACATCAATAAGTGTTGCATTTCCACAGTACAAAGTATATTTTCTTTTCATTCACAACATTCAAAACATTAAGTCTCTAACTAGAAGCATTATTTGCTCCGTTTGCAACTTTGTTAGAAATAGCCAGACTATTGTTAATATTTTTCTGTAAGTAAAAAAAAAGACAAGAAAATAACGAGCGAGAAATTAAGAGTAAAATATTTTTTGTCTGTTTGTGGAAAGTCCAAAAAAACCACTTCTCATACCCAGTGTAATATCTTTCGTCCTACTCTTCCCTCCCTCCTCTAGGTATAGTTTTTATGGTAAGAGAAAATTAGCAACGCAGTTTAAAATAAGGAGTATTCCCTTCCACTGACTTTTGGACCTGGAAGACCAATGTTGCCTTTTGGGCCCGTAGGCCCTGGTATGCCATCTGCCCCTCTAAAACCTTTGCTTCCTTTCATGCTGAGCGTGGGAAGACCAGGAGGCCCTGGAAAACCGGGAGCACCTGTAAGGAAACATCCAAGTAAGCAGGGACTACTGCCAATGATATTTCATGAACATTGTATATAGTGCAGTACAGCATCAGTGATTATTACATAATTTCATATTTACTGTCTGCCAGCAATTGCCAAGGAAAAATACTGATTTAAAACAAACAAAAAAAAATCCCCTCCCTTCTTCATAGTCTCTTAATTAAATCTGAGATGAGGGCTGAGTTCTCTCAGTTCTACAGCACTACAGTTTCTAAGCATCCTTCATTTCTAGTTACACTTGCAGTAACAGTCCTGCTTCCCTATAGCTTGCACAGGAAGAAAGCAGACGCAGGGAAGTGGGCAGGCTGCAAAGTAGCTACTTTTTATTTTATTTTATTTTAAATTTACATTCCACTGCACAGATAACTGATGTTTGCAATGGTAACATTGCACCAAATAAGAAATTACCTGTTTAATTTTGAAGCACTCTGGCACAGAACCTCTTTCAATCTTGAATTTTGGACAAGCTAAGTTCTGCTTGCAGTTAGCAGTATATCCTTTCAGATCAACAAGGAGATGTAACAACGTACCTGGTCTTGCATCTGCACCAGCAATACCTCTGTTCCCTTTTTGGCCAGGAATTGCCATGCCTGTTGCACCTTGGAACCCAGGGAATCCCATCATGCCAGGGGGTCCAATGGGCCCTTGATCCCCACGACAACCTTTGGTACCTGGTGGCCCAGGAAAACCAGGCAGCCCCATGTCTCCTTTGATTCCTGTGGAGTATAAATATTACATAGTGCATTTTGGAAGAACTGTCAAGATAGCTTGAAGCTCTTAATTTTGACTACACAGAATACATGTGTTTATCGTACTGCCATTGCTTTATATGCAGAGAATTCAGCCCTTGCTTTATATACAGAGAAGCCCCAAATCAACTCACAACAGTTACAGAAGGAAAAAGATTGTAGAAAGATATGACTTACTGCAGTGTAGTGTACAAAAATCGCTTTTCTTTTAAAACTCCATTTCAGAGTTTGCTCATAGAAAGGAATGAACTTGAGAAGAAAGGGTGGAAAGAAGAGAGTATGGAATATTTCTTTAAACAGCAATTAAAAAAAAAAAGCTACTTAGACCATCACAATTTGCAAATCCTATTAAATTAAATTCTAGCTAAAAATATCAATGTGAGTACTGTAAAACAAGAAAATATTTCAGGTGGATTAGTTGATACTCATGTTGATCTTGGGGTGAATGGTTCAGAGAGAGTATGGAGGGAGGTTTTTGTTTGTTTGAATAGAGCAAATCATATCATATCTACCAGTCTTAGACGTACACAGCCAAAAATTAGAAAGTGTCTCCTTATTCAATTGCTTTTTATTTTTGAGACCACGTCAGCATAAAAGGAAAGAATGGTAACATATAAAAATGCAATCACTCTACCTTTGTTAAAATCTTAACTTGACAAGCAAGAACCCTTAACACTCAATGTATAGCACCAAGTCATTGTTCATAAGCAGAGAATCACCCTTTATTGCCTCTAAATCTCATAGTGCCATTCCTTAAGGAGGACATCATTTACGGGGAAAGATGACCAGCCTAATATTTAAAAATTAAGCTTCTGCTCTCTGAGAGGACAACTCACCTTTACGACCAGGAATACCTTGCAGGCCAGGGATTCCTCTGCCTGGTGCTCCTACAAAATATTAGGTCATATTATACTCAACAGCCCTGAATAATTGCCAGAAGACATCATAGTTGCTTAAAATTTCATATAGTTCTTCAATATTCACCGATTCAAGACTGATATTTTAATTTTACGAAAAACATCTTTATTTCTTATCTTCTACTGTTCCATCCAGAAAAAGTTTTTCTTTAAAGCGATAACTCCTATTTCTCACTTGTATTTGAAGGAGAAGGGGAAGAACAAGAAATTTTGACAAACCATATGTATAATAGAGAAGTAATGAATGTATTTGAAAATCTTGATAGTGTGTCAAACAGTTGCACAGAAAACCTTTGATTTATATAAAAATTAAGAACCCTCTATTTACCAACACAGCTTTTGTTCCACAGAAACCCTTTAGCCGTCCCCTCCAAAAGAGGCATGGGAAACTAGGTGGGGGTGAGGAAGAAAAGCAATTTTAAAGCAAAAACCAAGTACTTCACTGCTGTACCTGGTTCTCCCCTATCTCCTGGGGTGCCAGGCATACCATCCAGACCTTGATTTCCTCTTTCACCAACAAGCCCATTCTTTCCAGGTTCTCCAACAGCACCTGTGAATTATAATGAGCCAGAATATCATTTTCACATCTCCCTTTAAAATGCAAAATAATAGAAGACTAACTGGTCTCCTTTATTAAAATGTCACTAGTGCAACTACTTCAAAAATAATTATAACTATCTTGGTAACATAAACGTTAGTAAAGAGCAGTATCTCATTTTCATTTGTCTTTCTAAACTTCAATGGATTTAGGACCCTCATTATTTTCACAGATAATACTTTCCTGTCTTTCAGTGACATTTTAGATCCTGCCTTTGATTAAGCTGATGTTGGTGAGACAGGCAGTGCAATTCTTCTCTCTAGGTTTATTACAAATTCAAGGTTTCTCTAGGTAAGGAGTAGTGTGATCTTAGCCAACTCTGCTGATAATCAGTTGGATCTTTTCTGTTGCTCTAAAAGCAGCAACTCTGTCTTTTCCCTCTTTCTACTCTAAAGAATATTTGAAAACAAAACTAGAATCTTTTGCCTGAGCTGAATTAATACTTTATAAACAGCCTGGTATAGACCTTAGCTGGAACTAGAGAAGGTGAACTGAGTCTCATACCTACATAAACAGAGACTCCAATATCAACTGCAAAAGCAAGAAAATCTGCTAACTTATCGCAACACATCCAGTGAATGACAAACCAGGATACAGTGATTTGATGGAGGTGCCAAGCATCATACCTGGAGGGCCTCTAGTGCCCATTTGTCCTGGGTGGCCCTGAAGTCCTTTAGCACCAGCATTGCCAGGAAGTCCTACTTTCCCTGTAAGAAGAAAGTTTGGGAGAGGAAAAAAAGACATTAACACTTGGAATTCAGATTAGGAACAGACTAAGCCTCAGTTTGCTACTGTCTTTGCTTCAGAGAGCTATGACAGATCTTTAGTGGGCTCTAAGCTAGGCTGGCTGTGCTGACTACAAGCTTAAGTTTACAGCAGCTGAGTATAAGCGTGCCACAGGCTGCCTGAGATTTATGGAGACATTCTCTTCTAGAAGCACGTCAGCATCTCGCCACCTCCCTCAGAACAAACCATACCTGGGACCCCTGCAGCTCCAGATTCCCCTCTGATCCCATCTCGTCCTGGCACTCCTGCACGGCCCGGCTGACCTTGGGATCCTTTTTCTCCTTTGCTCCCTAAACGCCCTGGGGGACCTGGATCTCCCTGAGAAAAAGCAGACAAATGAAAACAGAAGAATGACTTGCATTAAATACATGACATTCCAAGTTTGTACATTATGAAGTTATATATAATTTTAAAGGTTAAGTGAGCATAATCATGGTTCAGGATAATTTTCACAGATGGTATGAAGTAGACTAATATAAAGTCTAATATAATAGATGCTCTTTTTACCAGAACTTCGTACAAACACGTAGACTTCATAATAGACATACATAGTAAGACAGACAGAACAGAAATACACTTTTTTCTTAAATTTCTACTTTTGTCTCAGTCATTTGGACCAGAACAGAGGCAGCAGACCACATAAATTTAAAACTGATTTGCAAACTCAGTCTTATTCTGGTTACCCAGATAATACATAAACTAAGCAGATAGACTGAATTGTAGCAAAACTTATAGCTTGAACCATGTATTTCAGATAATTTCATATGTTTCCAGATGCTCATCATGTGTGAATGTGGAAGAAAATTTTATTAATTTGATCAAAATGCCATTCAACAATACATATTCCAAAGAAAATAATTATTTTTGTGTGATAATACTGTAAAAATCAACAATACAATTTTAGGCACTATAATTAGGATTTTAGAACTTCTCATCATTTACAAATAATCTACTTAGCTGCTGCAGACTCTCCAGGTCTGGCTTACATACTATTTTGTTTCTTCAGCCAAAGACTCTGCCTATAGGCTAATATGACAAAATGCCCACTGCCTTTATACCTTTGGACCATGGTCTCCTGGAGGCCCGGGAACTGGATACCCAGGGTCTCCTTTGTCACCTGGAGAGCCTTCAGAGCCTATTTGCCCAGAGTCACCTGATGGTCCTGGAAAGCCTGGAGATCCTTTCTGCCCTTTGGGACCTGGAAAAACAGAAGGTGTCAGTACCATTCTCCCAGAACTATAATTGCAAAACACACTGTGCTTTACAAAATCCTGCTTGCATTTTCAGATACTGATTTTTCATTGAAATGATTTGTGCACTAAGTAACTAATTCTATGTGCATTAAAAGACTTGCTTCAATTTAACAGTACATGTTAATTATATTTCATTTATTATTTATAAAGCTTACAGAAAGAAAGACTTAAGTTTACTAAGCTAATACGTCATTATGATGAAATGAAGGAGCACTATATAGTGCCACATCCTGACTAATTCTTGTGCTATACTCTCCGAAAAATTATTACTCAAGATGGACACTTGGAACACACTTACTAACATTGTGGCTAGAGAGGGAGAACTACATTCTGCAATTCAGGAAGCTATGTGAGTGGGTAGAAGTTTATTGGTCCTGGAAAATCTCTGTCTGCATCAATGTTGTGTAGTCCACTAACAGTAACTGCTCACATCTGTGTAAACACTTCTGCACAATACCATGAATTTGCAATGTGACTTGATAGAAAATAACCTGGAATTCCCATGTCCCCTTTGTCTCCAGGTGCTCCTGGGAATCCTTGTCCTCCAGGAATCCCTGGAAGACCCATAAATCCTTTGACACCTGTAAGATGAAAAAATAGGCACTATTTTCATGCTTCTCTATTTGTACATCTTCAGTTTAGACCTTGTGTATCTTCAAAGATTTTGTACTTGTATTTGTTCAAAGTGCTTTGCATTTCACCTAACACCTGGGCAAGGTATCTTTTTGTTTTATAAATCAACAAATAAATTAAGTAGAATTCTTCCTCTTGTCTCTGACACATATAAAATTAACATTATTCTTATTGGAAGGTCAAGGCTTCCCCTCCTCACAATCAACTTTCACATGAGCCTTGTGATTATTCACAGTACTTATGGGTGACAACTGCAATATACCTCTGCAAATTTTCATCAAGACCAGGAATCTGTGTTTGCACATTCGGAACTTCCTTTGTCTGAGTTTGGTTCAGTTTCTCAGCATGTCACAAATACACTACTTTGCCATTACACGCTTCTCATGGCTATATGCCTTTTTTTTTTTTCTGTATTTTGATCTGTTTTTCTACTTGCTTCTCTTTCACTTAGTCTTGTATCAATGTCAGTTTATTTTTTATTTTAATGACTATAAGGTCTGGTTGCACTTGGAGTGTACAGATGTCTAAATTCTAGGGTAGAGGCAACTAAACACTTAGGCAGGTCAGTCTGATTTTCTCCCAGAAGAGGTCAGAGAACATCTGCAGTTTTTCCTGCATTTTTTGCACTGCAGTGACTACAAAGGACATTAAAAAAAATATAGTAGTAATGCTGCAGTGACATACAGCATGGATTATTGCCATTATAACAAGGACCAATTTCATTACAAGTCTAAAATGCTTGCTAATTACCCAATTAACCTAATTTTAAGAATCTTTTTATAGACATATCATCGTATGACTTCAACAAAGAAGTTATCTCAAAGAATCAAAAAACAGAATATGGAGAGTGAAAGACATTTTATGAGAAAACAGATGCACTATCTCACTCAAGGGCCTATATGTATCATTATGCATTAGATTAATGTCAGAGCAAAAGTTTAAGAATGAACTATGTAGGCTTTTAATTTTTACATGATTGTTTTTAAGACTGCTCTTTAGTGAAGGCGTGTCAGCTTTCAAAATATGCACATGCAGGCTTTCAAAAAGAAAGAAACTGAAACCCCAAAAGTTTCCAAAATAATTCTTTAAAGCTGTGCTTTAATGTACAGTTTTCAGAATTCTTACTGTTTCTTTATAATATTGGGAATTCTAACTTTTTTCACTTTTATAAAAACAAATTTCAGCTCATTTTTCTCAGACTTTGGAGCCTCAAGATATTACCATTCAGTATCTCATATTACTTTATTAATCACATCAAATTAGGTCAGATAATGGTGTCCATTTGGAAGAAAACAGATTCTTTTGGAGGTAGTTAAACTTTCAAAAAATATTTTGGCTAATTAGTCAGCTTCAGAATACTCAAAATCTTTACAGTTAACGGAGCGAACATAGTTTTTCTGCCGAAACTGATTTTACATATTACTGTTCAGGTAATATTAACCTCTACCCTCCGATACAAGAGTTTTCGATAAAGATACTCCATACCTGGTAAGCCAGGTATTCCTTCTGACCCAGCAAGACCTGGAGGTCCCTGCACACCTGCATCTCCTTTTTCTCCTTCAAAACCCATTCTTCCTTGAAATCCTAAACCAAAGTTTTGTAAAAACAGTATTAAGAACCAGTATCTCAGAATACAGGCAAAAATCTCTCTTAAAAATAAGAGAGAAAAAGAATAGAACATACGATCCTCAACCTATAAACAAACAAAAAAAAGACACAAGCTCATAGTTAATGGTTTTAGTATTTTTCATATGGAAAGAAAGAGAAGTTTGATAAAGTTTCTACTGGGTAAGTCTACAGCAAAAGAAGCCAAATTAATTAGTTTAGCATGAACAACTGACAAACAGAGAGTTTATATTAACATTGCAAACAATTTTGCTTGATGGTCAACTACTTCTAGACAGACTTAATTTCTTTGCAAGCCAGCATCTAGTTGGTGAGCACACACTCATTTTTGTTTTCATGGACTGAATGTGTAAAAATGAAACTATATAGGACACAAATTTTAGTTTCTTAGTACTACAGAAACACCACTGAATTGCGGAGAGGGCTTTTAAGGATAAGGGCTTAAGTGGACATATTCAGTGTAACAGTCAATTATCCAATTAATAAAAAGGCAATTACAATGCACTAATTAAATCAAAGTTTTGTGAATACTCTGAGCACTTGAATCAGTTTCTTTCAAGCATCAGAGCCCACTGGAACACAGTTTTGAATGACAGAGCAAGAGCGCATACCATCTGAGCCTCGTTCTCCTTTAGTCCCAGTACCAACCAAAGTCTCAGATGGTCCAGGAAAACCTTTGTCACCTGGTTCACCCTTTTGTCCCAGTAATCCTTTTCTTCCCTTTAGTCCTGGGAAGCCAAAAGAACCTGCAGCAAAATAATTATTTTGAGAAATCTTACCAATTGATAACATATATAAACAAGTCAATGAAACTCTTGCCCTTAAGAGTAGCCAAGTATGTAAAAATATATGCCAGATACCAAACCCAAAAAGCTTCTTAGTTACTTTAGTCACAAATGAAACATCTATGACAGATCACTGCAAGACACCATAATTATTTCTTATAATGAGCAAAACTACAATATTAAATCTGTTAAATAGATATAAGTCAAAAATAAATCAGGTAGACAAAAATAGAGCGCACAGAGCAAAAAGTTTTTTGTTTTGTTTTCTCTAGCAACATTTCCAGCCAGTTTCACAAGTACCCATGAAATTGAAACAATTCAAAACGGTTAAAAGAAAATGTGTTATCACTAGTCTGAAGAACTCACAACATACTGAAGCCAAGAACTTAGCAAGACTCAAAGAAGCTGTGGTCATGAACCGCAGGCAGGAGAACTCAGGAATGATAATACAGAAGGAGATGGATCACAAGACTATTTCAATGTTAAAGTTCCCATAGTCTTAAGGAAAAAATGAGGTCAAATACTATGGCCACTTACCTCTGCTACCAGGATTGCCTGGGTTTCCAAACGCACCTGGGGGTCCAGGAACCCCTAATGCACCCATCACACCTGGCTCTCCCCTTGGGCCTATGGAAATGAAGCATGAGGAACATATTTTGTTAGTATTTGATCAGTGAAAGATAATGTTGCTTCAGAAAATTACATACGTGCCTGTCAGTTAAGCAATAAATTGCACTTTTTCATTTTATTTCATTCTGGCACTTATGTGCCGCACATATTTCTTTAACATATGACTTCTAGACATATGTTAACCCAATGAATAGCACTTGCACCCACAGTAAACCCCAAAATCTCAGGGAAGTAACAACGATCTTTTTGACGGCGAGTATCGTGCATTGAAGATACCCACATAGGGCTGGTAGATCTGTCATAGGATGCATGGGAAAGCTGTTCCTTTCCGACCCAGGAGCTAGAGACCAGCTGGAATACAACAGCTTATCTCAAATGACACTAGATGTCTATATGTCTAGGCTGCTGAGTCAGGCAGTACATGTTTACAGGCTGCGTATCTAAAAGGCATATATCATCCTCTTCCCTTAGAATAAGGGATTAAGGACACTACAAAAAGAAAAAAATTGTCATAAATAAGAAACATAATATACCTGAATTTACTACTTCTACAATATCAACTTTGAATAAATTTCTGGATAAAAGAACTACAAGGATTTATTTAATTTAATTTACTTTTTTACTTAATATCAGCTCTGGCTAACATTACAGTTTGATCTGAGCTACAACTCTGTTAGATTCAAGAACTGAAATTGCCTTTCTCTGAAAAAGGTTTTGACAAGTTCTCTCTTGAAAAGGGAACATTGCTTTAGAAAATTGGTTACTGTACCATGACAACCCCAACATACACCCATCACTCAAGGAGTGGTGATTAATTTGTTTTCCATATAGATCTCAATGACACATGAAAGCTGAACATCTATGTTTTAATGGAAAAATCTTCAATTTGGAAAAGCATGACTGATACCTTTCTGCAGAGGTTGATTTAATAGCTATGTCAAAATATGCATTTGAGGAATCCTTACCAGGCACTCCAGAGATTCCTGGCCTTCCAGATTGTCCCTTGGGACCAGGTAATCCTGCATTTCCCTGAGGGCCTATTCGTCCAGGTTCCCCAGGGTTTCCAAAAATTCCTGGGATACCCAGGCCAGGAGGGCCTATTTTTCCTTTTGAGCCTAGTGAACCTCTTCCTCCTAAGAAAAATGCATGACACAGTATACGTATTTCTTTCTAGGAAAACAAACCATCATTATCTCGATCTTGCCATCATGAACATGAAACTCTTGAGCTCTGAGAGTATAGCTTGCATGAGAACCATCATCAGATAACGTATTTAGTCAGGCAGTCTTAAAGAAAAACAACCACCACCACCACCAACACAGCAGATGATCCTATTGTTTTTGTTTGTTTGTTTTTAAAAATAGTTCTATACATTCATCCTCCAAAATCCAGACTCTGTATTTTCATAGAATATCCAGGGAAAAAAGCCCTTCTAGGATTATCTATAAGAGGACTGAGCTGCATGCCTAGGACTATCCTCCCTTGGGAGGGATTTCATAAACAGTATATGCCTGTTTCAGTCTGTAACTGTATTCAGTGCAGATTTGCATGTTTCCATGCAGCCAAGCTCTTTCTCTGTTCTTTTTCTGTCTTCCACTACCTTGCACTAAATAACCTAAGCTCAGTTCCATATACGAGTAGGTCAGTGAAACATCCTGTTCTGAGAAAATTTGGGTCAGTTTGTGATTAATCTTTGTGCTGTACAATGGCATCTGAATCTTTATCCAGGGAGTCCACACAGATTTTTCCCTCCAAACTGTAGACAATGGATCTTTTACCTGAGCTCTATTTTTTTTCCTAAGAAACTTATGTACAACCTCTATCTATAAGAAAATTCCCTCAGACCAGTAGAATTCACGAACATCCATGCACATGTAATTCAGAAAGTACTACCTGGAGGGCCTGTGGCTCCTTCACCACCTGGCAAACCTGGAAGGCCAATAAGACACTCGGCAGGTTTTCCTGGAGGACCTGGATCCCCAGGAATTCCAGGCAAGCCTGGATCTCCTAAAAGAAAGGAGACTGATTTCATAATGCTGAAACAGCAGTTTAAAGTTTTGAATAATATTGTTTGACTTGGCTTCCCTTTCCTTAAAGGACAGATGTAACTTGCTGTGTTCCCTGTGCTTGTCTGACCACAGTACCTCTTAGGCCATCATCACCATCATGTCCAGCATGTCCTGGTAGGCCTGGAAGCCCTGGAAATCCAGTATCACCCTTTGGGCCAGGAACGCCACTACCTCCTGGTGAACCTGCTCTACCTGGCTCTCCAGGAATAACTACACCTGGGTCACCCTGCAACACAGAGAGAAATGTAAACAAGCCACATGCAGTATACTCGGTAAATACAACAAATATTACTTTCTCTTTCCCGTAGACCTGGTGGCAATTACCTAATTTTTAAATTCTCTGGGGATCTTACACAATACCATCTGCAGTGGTTGCAATTCAGGAGAGCACTAGATACTCCCTACTGTCTACCCGGAGGTCCCACACCAGAAGGATAATCCATCTAAGCAGTTTTGAATCCTGCCTTCCTATGCTGCTAGAAAAATTGCTACTGAGCAATGCAAGGCACCTCCCTCCATCTGCCCTGCACTGCATTGTGCACCCAAGTATTTGTTTAAGTCATCCAGGTCAGCATCCTGACCTGGTCAGGACACTTCCATATGCCATCAATTGGTTAGATTTTGTGAAGAGGGGTTGCAGATCATAACTGCAACCTGCTTCATTTAGGCTTCAGTTCAGTGAAGCACATGCTAGTATTGAATACATACTTACTTTGTATTGACCTCCATCAAAAATGTGCTTAATTGCAATTTCTGAAAAAACATCTTAGCAAAATCTGTGGCTTTAATTATTTGCTATAAGCAAACATAAGCAAAATATCTTTCTTGTGCTCTGCAAATTACATTCCAAAGACAGTCAAAATATCTGGAGTTCTGAAATTCTGTGTCCGAATTGAAAATTCTGGCTTTAGCTCCCTTTTATAAATGATTTTGTAATATACATGTCACTGGTCAGGAAATATAAAAATTTTCATTACTTGTGTTCCTACTTTGCTTAGTGTCACACTTAATTAATGGGATTTATAAAGAAGTTTGGGCTGCATTTCTAACCAAACCTTTCCTCCCGGCAGTCCTAGATTTCCAGGCCGGCCTGGATCTCCAATCTTTCCTTCACAACCTGGTGATCCTCTTCCTCCTGCAAGTCCTTTATCTCCTGAAAAAGGAAAAATAATGGTAGTCAAAATGGCAGTAAAAAAGCTATGGTTATCACTATGCTTTTTTGCGAATAGTTATTTGTATAGATATGGCTACGAAGCTCTGACCTAATACAGGTTACACGAAAACAGCATAATTTTAGAGCTGATGTGACACGCTGAATCTTAGTCCTTAAATATACACTCAGCACCAATAGTAACATGGCTCAGTTACTGAGTTTTCTTTTATCTGCCTTAAAGAAAAACAAAAACAAAAACAAATCTACCAAACAGATAAAGTAACTGACAAATAAAGCATTTCTGATATCCATCCCTTACTATTTTCTTCAAAAATCAACATGGCAGTGGTTCTAGTTTCAGAGTTTTTTTTTTTTTCTTTTTTCCTGGCAGGGTCACAGAAATGGCCCCAAATATTTCTACTATTCAAAGACTTTTTAAAATTGGGGCATAACAGCATGAGGAATGGCCACATTCACAGCATTCAAAATGCTTTATTACCTGCACATTGGAGCATGTATTGCACTGTACGTAACCAAAGTTGATTAAAAAGAAAGTACTACCATTTATGACTCTGTTATACGCACACAGGTAAAGACAATCTATTTGAAGTAAGTGTGATAAAAACAGATGAACTACATCTGTCTTTACAAGAAGCATCAATTAGCTTATCCCTCTTTTGACAATAATAGATTCTCCTAAGCAGATTCAATGTTTTCGATTTCTCTGCATTTCTCCAGAGGGTATCTCTTGCCAGTGAAGTCTTAGAAAGATCTTTTTTGCTACCAACAGCTTTGATATTTGACTCTTCAGTTTATAACACCAAAGGCAGAAAGTTGTAAGAGTATTAATAAATACTTGCCTTTAATTTATTTTTTTAAAACCTGTTTGTTGTTTTTAATCTGAGTGGAAAAAAAAAAGTAAACTAGAAGACAATATAGACAGTAGAACAAACAAACGAACAAACAAACAAACACAAAAAGAGTATTTTACCTTTTGGACCAGGGTTTCCAGGAAATCCAAGTCCTGGAAAGCCTGTGTCACCTGTTGGCCCTGGGTGACCTGAATCACCTGGCTGACCTCTAGATCCAGCTCTGCCTGTACAAAGAAAACAGCTAAGCTCTATAATGCATTTTGCTACAGAACTTCAAAATATGATGATTAGGCATTTCACTAGTTTATTAATCAGGACATCACTGTAGGTAACTTCATTAGAACATAGGCACTATTTCTGCTTCACAACAGGTCCTCAGTTAAAATGCTATTGCGATCTCTTTGTTAACATTATCAAAACAAGCATAAGCCTGTAAATTAAACCTTGATGCAATCTACTTAAGTCTCAGACTTATACGAACAACAATGTGCAGATAAAAAAAATCTACTTGTTGACACCATGCTAGCACATAATACATGCTCAGAAGGAAGTGCAAGAATAGAAGCTACTATAAAGCTGACAAAAGATTCTCCCATGATCTTCAGTGCAACTTAAGGGACTCTGGTTCTATAAAACTAAAGCAAAGAGATCTTACACTTAAGCTGGTTCTCATTTATTGTCTTTCTAGGAGTGATACAGTCCACAACATGTAAGCCACCAGCAAGCAAAGACATAGACTCCCCAAACCCACCAAAAAGAAACCCCAGGCTCCTATCATCTTAGGATAATCGTTAGTAACAGTCACTTAAAAAAAAAGAACATGGAAACTCAGTCATACAGTTACTTTTACCAGGAAACATGCAAACACTTTTACAAGATTTTCTGACTGTGTCCCTACAAGGTATATGACAGCCCAAAGGTTTCAGGAAGTTTAAGAATGCTTTAAGCTAATTTTAGTCCTCCTCTTTTGAGGGTGCAGCAGTCCCAACATAATTTAGACTAGGATCTGTCAAAATTATGCCGTAGGCTCCTTCCTGGATATATGAGCCACAACATATGTGCCAGGGGTTTCTGGTTCTCTGAGGAACTGAGTCATAGCATAGCTCTCTTTGGAATCCCTGCATTACAGCAAACCATGGACATGTCCCCGGTGCCCTTCCTATTCACACTTACGTTCTTTTCCTCTTTTTTTTTTTTTTCCCCCAAAGTAAATGCTATGACAGATTTCACAGTCTATTTACCACAGAAACGGAGATAACCCAGCTAGATTACTTCTGAATTTTGCTGTGTTTAGTTTACTCACCAGGCACTCCTGGGGGTCCAGGGAAACCAGAGGGTCCCTGTGGTCCTGGTAATCCTGGTAATGAAGTTATTGTACTGGTCTCTCCTTTCACACCTTCAGCAAACACATAATAAGAGTTTACAGAGGTATATGGTCTGGAAATGTGTAATCTTAAGCATTTAAAGTGAGCAATCTACTCAGTTAAAAATGCTGTCTTCCACACTTTCATACAGTTGAAGCTCCAACAGATTTTGAAAAGCCTTCACATCCAGGCTTCATAACAGCAAAAATATTTTATTGATATCAAGAAAATATCACTCTTTTTTTCAGCCCTGCTGCAGCCTGGGCACAGAGTGGGCAGAAACACAGAGTGGGCAGAAAAGACAACAATGGAATTAAGAGATGATGAATCTGCAGCTTCACTCCATAAAGATTTAATAGGTGTCACAGCCTCCTGTCTGAACTGATAGCAAAAAACACACCATAGATTCCATATTTGTTTTGGACCAGAAAGATTTCAAGACACGGAATAAGAACTATTGTTGAAAGCCCTGGGAAGAAACTAAAACAAAACATAGCCTCCAGACTGCTGCAGATTTTTCAGATATTGGAAGCAATGCAACCATACCTTTGAAATCTCAGATCTTGTTCTAAACATTAAAATAGAGAAACATTGATAATTTCATGCCATAGGACAGCAAACTTGTATCTTAAATCAGATGTTAAAAGCGCAGACACGGTGTTTAGCCTATCACAGTAGTCATGAGTGCTAGAATCCATAATCTCATGGATTTAAAGTCCAAAAATAACTTAAATTCTTCCAGATTGTATTTGTCTATGAATACACCAATATGTTTTTGGCACTGAAAAGTGATCAAGTCTTTTGTATTTTCTCCTGAAGACATAAGCTCATACTAACAATACTAACTGGATTTAAATTTAAATATTACTTTTTCACATGGTAAAGACAGTTAAGTATTAGAACAGTTTGCTCAGAGAGACTGTGAAGTCTTCCATCCTTGGAGATTTTCAAAATCCTACTGGATTAAGTTCTGAGTAACTTCATCTGATCTCAGAGATGACCTTGCTCTGTTCAGGAAGTTGAACTAAAACCTAATGGGCTCCCTACCATCCTCAGTGGAAACAAATCTAGAACAATACTTGGAAATGGAAATCCCATTCCAAGACAAACTTACTATGATTCCTAGATCATTTCTGTGTCTTCAAACTCTATAATTTCAAACAAGTGTTCTTTAAGTGTGTAAAGAATGGTAAAATAAGTTACAAACCAATTTCTCCAGGTAATCCAGGTGGACCAGGTACCCCTTTAGAGCCTTTGAGACCTCTTGTTCCTTGAGGTCCATATCCTGGTGGTCCAGGAAGTCCCATCTCTCCAGCAAGACCAAGATTACCAGGCAATCCTGGTAGTCCTCTGTCTCCTTTTGAGCCAGCTAATCCCTATTAATATATACCAAGCATTATTTCCATGCCAGCTTTCATAACAATATGTTCGATTTTCTGTATGAGTATAATCTGAAATTATTTTAATGACAAAGTAGATAAATAATTCCTCTTAAATTGGCAGAGCTGACTTTTCATTAAAATAATACAGATTTTAACAACAGCGGTTATTCATCCTTTGTATTAAAAGAGAAAGAGTGCAAATAAATATAAAGAGCTTGATTTTCAACAACTGTGGCATTATATTGCATGCCTTTTTCATAAGTTATGGGGAAGGGAAAAAAGAAAAAAAAAAGGAAAACTCAGCTCTGATTCTCCTTGAATACAAGCTTGGATTCAAGATACTTATACCTGAAACACTTCTACAGTTTTTCAATAAACACATTATAATAATTGTTAGGCTTTTATTCTGCTGAACACAGAGCTCTGCTCTAATGATCCTAGTCTCATGGTGGGTCTGCCAGCTTTTATTGTTTCTCTCAGCCCTGATAAAGATTAACTCCTGAAGATGGAGTAGGAGGTATTTGGAGAGGATGATCATTTCACTTTAAGAATAATGACTAGACAGGGAAGTTGTCATTATTATTTTCTCATACAAATCCTAGGAATCCAAGCCAATGCTGCAATTTAAAAATCCAGACTAACAGAACAATTGACTGCTGAGATTTTTCCAGCAACATGACTCTGAGTTCACCTCTTGCTGGCATTACAGAAAAATATTTATTCTCTTACTTTCATTTCACCTTATGCGTATTGCCTGATATGGCTGCATATATTATCACTACACTAGAGGACATTCAGTTAAAATCTTCAAAAAGATTAAACAGATTGTAAAGGGAATATTGACACAATTTTCTATAACAACTGCAAACAGTGCATACCCACCTGCTCGCCTTTAGAACCCTTTGCACCTTTAGAGCCAGGTCTTCCTAGAAATCCACTTGAACCTTTTCTTCCTTTGTCTCCCTCAGCCCCTGGATCTCCTTGCTCACCTTTTGGCCCTTCTGGATACACATATCCTGGATCACCTTTTGATCCTTTATGTCCTTGATCTCCTTTAAAACCTGGAAGTCCCTGGAGCAAAGCCATCAAGAGAATTTATAAGTTAGATGTCAAAGTTTCCAAGCTTTCATTTTAAAGTAAACATTTGAGGGCAACTCTCTCTATTCTCATTTTTATTTGCCGTACTTGCGTATTTCAAGGAACATGAAAAAGTTGGTTTGGTTTTTGTTTGTTTTGTTGTTGGGCTTTTTGCCTTCACTCTTGCTGACCATAATTGTCATCTCATATATACTACTGTAAGCAGCAGTAATGCAGGATAAGACTATTAGGTATGTGTTTGTGCTTTTGCACCACAGAAGTACAGGCAAGAAAATACCTTAGAAGTATCTGATCAGAGATTTTCACATAGAATCATCTCCCAGGGATAAAACTGCCACATTTGGCTCTCTCTGCTCTTAACTCCTGGTCTCTCTTATTTCTTCCTCAGAGTAGAAAGTAGAGTTGAAAGCACACTGGGCTCTAGTGATCTGGGGCTAATGAACTCTTGGGAGGCTTTGGAAAAGCTTGTTAGCAGGCCTTTTCATTCTGCATTTGCATGGCACTGAGCACAATGAATTCTTGTCTGTGACTGTTTTGTATTGAGCAGTACTGAAGAGTTCTGACAGTAACTCTTCAAAAATAATTATTACTACAGCCACAAGTTAGAATACCCCAAAGGTATGCCTGTGGCAGGTGTCTGCCTTCTCTCTTCAACAATTTCCTCAAGAGGGAATGTCCTGTGCATCTCTGAAAAGGGTATTATGAGAAGAAAGTTCCTCTGCACACTTCCTTTGGACACAAGATATGCAACAGGTCTGACTAAGATCAGAGGGCACATAGATTATATGCTTTGTAGCCACTGCCATGATTATATTACAATGCAGATTTACATGACCTGGTTGTAAACTAGCCATATTAGGCAGAAGCAGTCTGGCCATCCTGAAATACAGCACAGACTCACTACCCACGTATCAGGTATGATGCTTGTGCCATGAGCTGTATTTCCTACTGCACTGAGCAAACCAGGCTCATTTAAAGATAGATCAGCTGTGTTCATATCATAATCACTACTTAGGCCTGCTCTGTAGACACATTGTTCATCAGCACTAAGGAGACAACTGTTGTAACCAGCTGGTACACAGCTTAATGTAACACCAGCCAAGAAATTTCTCTGAAATAAATTTTTGTAGAATCTGAAAAATAGTTTTAAAGTCATAAATAATTCCAGCCTTACTCGAGGCCCTGGATACCCTGGTGCTCCCGGAGAACCTGGAGATCCTTTGGAACCTGGTGTTCCTTCTCTACCTGCAAGAGAGACAGCATCTTTTGTACAGAAAAAAATAAAACAAGCAAATGGATTTGGGCAAGTTCTAATAATCATACCTAGCCCTGAACATTGCTGCCTTTCCTATTTACTGCATAAGCACAAACTGACTTGACTTTAGGCTGCACCTGAGCCCAACAGTACTCTAGCTTCAGTCTTTTAGGACTTCTGCTTGTATGAGTAGACAGAGTTGCATAATGCTATATTAAATAACCCCATCCTCAAGACTACATCAGGAATCATTAATATAGGCGTATATTGTATCCTGTGGACATGTCCACACCAGTTTTGATTCTCATGCAATAAACAAAAGCATTGGCACATCCCACTATCCCCTTAGGCAAATCAGGATAACTTACCAGGGATGCCATCTTGGCCACGTGGCCCAGGAGGACCAGGAAGACCAGGTGTTCCAGGAATATAGCTGCAATCAGTACACAGGCAAGCATCATCACCTGGAATGAAGTTGTAGATTCATTAATTGTTCTATAAGAAGTTATTCCCAAGCTTAACTAATGTGCTGCATTACTTGTTCTAGAGGATGGCTAATATTTTTTGGACAAAGATGTATGAATATGGCCTTAAAATCTGCTTGTGTATCGAACTCTCTACTTTTTTTTTTTTTTTTCCAAGTCCAGTTTCAGTGAATTAGATGGTGATTTTTGCAGGAAGAAGCTCAAAGAGAAACTATTAGTGAGCAGACAAAATACTGGTGGAATGTGACAATGTGAATATGAAAACCTGAAAATCAAATAATGATTACAAAAATGTAATCATTATTTGCCCCAATGGAGATCGGCACTGGCTGCAGTGTCGGACAATTGCACTGCAGCACTGCACACTTCCTGCTTTTTAGCTGCTTTTCACTAACAGAAGACATCTTGCTACCCTTAACGGACTTTCTTTGTGCTCTGGACTCATCAAATATCATGAGAGGTCAATTAATTTCTGAATTTCATAAGAAATCACCAAGACTGCCAGATCGTACTACCTACTTCTCAGGGCAAGTTTTAAGGAAGGATGCAGAAATGGCAATAAAAATTGTTCCACTCAGCACTGCATCTTGGTTTTCACTTGAAAAAGAAGGATCAATGAGTAGCTACTAATACAATCCAGTCCAGAAAAAGCACCTTCATGTGGAAAATACGTTATGTGGAAGCAAAGTGAGACCTGACAAAGAGGAGAATGCGTATAGCCCTGTACTGAGACTGAACAGAATCTTTTTGTACTCCTGCCTTTATTTCTCCTAAAGTAGAACAGCTCTTGAACAAATATTCTTGCCTACACGTAAGAGCAAACACCATCTCGACCTCGAGGACATTATTTGTCAACACTGTAACTGACCTTTCATGCCAGTATCTCCTGGACGTCCTGGAGGTCCCACACACCCTGGCTCTCCAGGAAGTCCGGGTAGGCCAGCTCTAAATGTTATTCTACCTGTTAATAAACATGGCACTATTACTGCACTAGTTCAGACATTTCTCTATTTGCTGACAGGAGAAGAAGGTTCAGTGATCACACAGAGAAAATATTCATTTAAGAGAAAGAACGACCTGGACAAATCCAAACTATTCTTGTTTAAAATACTGAAATCTCACCTGGTTCTCCAGGGAGACCTGGTAACCCAACAGAACCAGGTCTGCCAGTAATCCCAGGTAGTCCTGGGGGGCCCATGATGTGCAAACCAGGTTGTCCTTTCTCTCCTTTTATTCCTTTTGGCCCAGGAAATCCTGGGGGACCTCTCAGACCAAGTCTTGACACACCTAATCACAGAGAAAAAAAGCAAAAAGAATTGCAGAAAAACTAGAACTTCAAAGCAAAGTAAGCAGGCAGAGTTCAGCTAAAAAGTCTTGATTGTATTGTGATATATTAAATAATCACACACAGAAAGTATAAATTAAAAACAAAAAAAAAGTCTTTAACCAGAATTTCTCTATGCAGCTGGCATATCAGAACTTTTTGAGTAATGATTTTTCGTCACTTAGAGATGACTTTAAAAACACCTTAAACAAAGATTACACAAAGCTAATAGGGTGAAACAGACAGGATGAGTAATGTATTTTATTGGGCTGCCGGATCACTACGCATACCTGGTCTACCAGCATCTCCAGGAGGACCCCTTGGCCCTGTGAAAGCAAAGTATTAAGAACTTTGGTTAAATTACTCTATACTTAGCAAAATCATAATAACGTTAATTGTAAAGCTTGGGTTTCTGCATTTTAATGCTAATTTTATCTTTTAAGAATTTTGCTTTTGTCTGAGTAGGCATCTTCCATTTATGCAACAGTTGCACACAATCCTCACTGAAACCCAACAAGAGGTAAATGTGTGCAACAGGCAGAGCATCAATCACATTTATCTTAGATGGGGATGCTGCCCAGTTACTTGAGAAGAACTTACAGGCCCAAACACCTCCTTCTTTTCTGCCACTATTCTGCATTTGCTCTAATAAAGGTACTATCTTCCCCTACAAACCCGCAGCAAATGATGTATTCACATCTTTTCAAAGACCAACTTCCTTCTCATATACATACACATTTAAGTAGATTTACAACAGCAAGGAATGAAGGCAAGATGATCACTCGCATAAACATTCATAAAACTGGAACTTCAAAGAAAAGTAAGCAAGCACTTAGTAGGATGAGCACGAGACCAACAGCTTACTGCCTCAGAATTCAGTTCACATATCTTTATTACACTATGACACAGCCAAAATAATTAAAAATTTACAGAACATCCAAAAATTAATAAAAACTTGTAGATCATTATTTTCAAAGGTTAGACATAAAATGGCATAAGAAAAACAGTGAAGGCTACAACAAATCTTAGTTTAATCTTTAACAAAAGACTACAGCCCTGATAGTTAATCTATGAGACACACCAATAATGTGCTGTTGTAGGATCCCACTGTGGTCACGAAGCAGGATCTAAGTGAGCTTTGGTGCTCATCTCAATTATCTGCAAGGAAAGTGTGCCAGGTTCATTACTTTTAATAGGAAATATGGCTACAGATTAACATGTCAGGATAAATTTAAGTTCTGCATTTTTACAGGAATAATTTGGAAAGCAAGTTGGAAAGGGAGAGGCAGATTGCCAGGTGATCACACTATGAAAAAAGTTGGCTTATTAACAAAGCTTTTGAGCAGACAGCTCCTGCTACGAGATGGTAGCTCCACATGTCACTCACCAGGCACACCACGTTGACCTTTTGGGCCTGGAGGTCCGGGAGGCCCTTTATCTCCTTTTTCACCAACCACTTTATCATAATACTCTGTCTTAATGGAAAGACGGTAAGAAAAAGAAAGAATAGTAAGAATGAAGAGAGAAGCCTAGTGCCTCATCCTGACCATTCGTTAGAATGCTATCACTCCATTAAACAGCATGATCTTGTGACAATATAAGGTCTTTCTAAAATAGTATGCGATTAACATTATTTTTTCACAAGCAGCCAGAAATGAAATTGCTACATATGTGTAACATTATAGACCTTCAGAAATAGGAAACTTGGAAATCTAAATGGATGACTACTAAAACACTGTTTTTAAATGGAATCAAAATTAAAATCAAAATTCACAATCCTTATTTTTGTTCTCTTCATTCTTATAAAAGGAGTGTTTTGTGCTACTCTTTCAATTACACAACTTTTGAAAAAGTTATTTATTAAGAAATTGGGCAAAAGGTTTCTATTATTGGAAAGGAGATGACAGAAGCTTTACTCACAGCATTTGTGTGTTTACTTAAATGTCTTCCTGGCACTGCAAAATTAACAGTACATTTGGAACTTACTAGAGTATCAGTTTAAAAATTAACTCCTATGAATTTCTCTAACTATTCTGTCACAGTCTAGTCTCCTGTCAAAATGCTGGAACTGCAGGGAGACCCTTATCTTGCATTCAACTTTACATAAAGGGAAATCCCATCTCTCCAGCTATGCTGCTAGTTTGAGAAAGCCATACCTTGGCTGATATCCTCATGGGACATTATTGCAACATATAGTCAGTTTGGCTTAATTTTAGCTTAAAAATAATAGCAGTTTACACTTACTCGACCACAAGCTCCAGGTGGACCAGTGTCTCCTTTCATTCCCTTCATTTGGGAAAAGAAACGGATCTTTAAGTTTTTTACTAAGAACATGACGTTTGATACTCTTCTACTTCAGTACATTGCTTATAACATGCAGGAAGGACTTCTGCTCCTGGTAAGTCCTTCATCAAAATGTCTCTGTTGCTATCAAACCATTCACCACATACTCAAACCAAAAACTGCAGGAGCATATCAGTAGGCAGGGATAAAAATCTGCTCAAACATGTAATCTTTTTCAGCCAGTCTTTTTAAGATTCAAGGATATCATTAGTTGTAGATTTTAAATAAAACATATTGTATGTGCAGTGATAACGTAATAACCACAAAACACACCCTACGTTCATCCTCACAAGCAATGACAAAACCATTAGACAATACCTTAGCTCCTTGCTTGCCAGCCAACCCTGGTTTGCCCTGTTCACCCTTTCGTCCCTGCAAGTGACAATACAGAATTATTAGAATGGTTAATCTTTTACCAATGTCATCAATAGGGTTCAAAATTGAAAGCTTTAATCTTTCATGGTGATAGCAAGATGAATGTGACATGCTCAGAGAAGAAACATGGAGAAATTCCTATGGAGATTCACTTAGCTTGGGATAAAGCTCTGCATCTGTACAAAATACTCCACAGCTAACATCCAAGTCTGTCCTATCTTGGCACGTTCTACCATTTCCAAAGCAGAAACACTACGGACAGGACGAGTGTACGAGGCTCTGGTTTGTTTTCCTTTTGAAAGCTACTGTTTCTAAAAAAGTAGAAAGTGAACATAGTCTGAAAGGCTCCCATTCAGCAACTCCCTCTCTCAGAACTGATCCAGTCTCCAGGTTGATGCAGATGTTTGGAGATCTCAGCAAGTCAGGATGGAAAAGAGTTGAGATGGCTACAAATGCTTTCTGCGAGCATATTTATGTGAGGAAAAGGGACTTTTGCTCCTCGAAGGATTACACAGTTGAATACATTGCAAGTTAGAAAAGCAGAAATGGTAACAGAACAAGGACTTGCCTTGGACATGACAGAAAGTTTGCTTTCTGATAGCTGAGTAATAACACAGTAAAGCTTTGTGGTCTGTCATACCACATTCTTTACTGAACTGGAATGTGTTTAGACTGGGCACAGAGATTGTTATTACACAAAGGAGATATTTCAGTAAGACATATGCAAAGTTGGCCTATCTTGACAATAAGAGTTTTGACAACATATTGGTGAGGTCACTGTGACCTAACGTTAATTTGGAAGATGTTAAGTTGGAAGCAAAGTAAATATAGTAGAAATGATATTTAACAGCTGCATTTAACTGCTGCGTTTCAAATATATTTAGAAAATTTTAGCTTTTTAATTAGAACATAAATGAGATCATTTTGCTTATAAAGTGGCATATTTAAAAAATTTGCCCAAGGTGAGTTGTATGATAGGAAATATTTTGCAGGGTATGGAAATTGTCATTTCCAAACCCATCCTGCAATGAAATAAAAAGCTATAGCAGGAAGATATGACCTTGATAAAAACATTGTTTTTTAAACTTATTTTACTCCGAAAATATTTAGAAGGTGTCCATCATTACCCGCAAACCAGGTGGACCCGGGGCACCTTCTTTTCCAGGTTTACCCTACCAAAATAAAAAGAAATATTCAAGAGGATTGTCACTGCATTCTAAAAGCGTAACAACCAAATGACATGCATACAATTATACTTTATGTCTTTATGAACTTAGAAAAGCAAGTTAGGTTCATTTTAAAATGCTCATTACTTCTAATCATAACTACTGCTCATAAAACTACAAAACAGAGAGCAAGACATTCCTTGGACTGAAAAGCTAACAATGCTTGAGCCCTTCTCCTGTGAAGGATTAGTACGGGCAGACACTTGATCAGCACAAAGTTCCAGGGAAAGTTCAGTAAAAAAGAAAAAAAAGAAAAAACAACATCGTAGCTAGCAGGTCCTATAAAAACAGAAATGGCTTGAAGAGAGATTACTTAATGAAAAAATGGTAGGGACTGAAATTAAAATGTAATGGAGGTAGAGCAGTGAATGGAAAAGTGAAAAGGGAAAAAACACAGCATGCCAAAGGTATTGGCCGCTTTCTGTGGCATAGAGCACCTCAGGCAACCTTCTGCTGGGCTCCTGACCTCTAGTGTGGCTACAATACATGATGAAAGATTCAGAACAGCCACAGCAGCAACAAGAGGAGATAAGGGTAAGAAAAGAGAGAGGAGGGGGAAAAAAGGGAGAAAACAGAGAAGGAGAGAATATAATTCTGGATAGGGGTACATTATTTGGCTCCTAAAAGGTAAAAATGTAGAAAACTTGGTTCATTAAAATGAATTGTAGAAGGGTAGTGACAAGATAAAAGTAGAATGAAAGATATTGAGGTCAGAACAACAGAGAAGAAAGTACATTTTAAAAGGCTTTCTTTTGCACCGAATTCATCAAGGAAAGATTTGAAATAATTTCAAAAGAGATAGCTAGACCACGAGTTAAAATCTAAATGTTACCAGAAAGAGTAATACGCAAAAGATAAAATGATAACAAGTACACAGATAACATGATCCAGAAGCACAGAAATTAGAAAGAATCATGCATGCTGAAGAAAGGTGCTTTTAGTACTTCACACCAGTAATTCAAATAGAAATGTAGTATTTATAATCTACAGGAGTAATAAAAAATAACAAGCAAGATGTTCTATAGTATCATCATTATGACTTAAAAAGTGGAAACTAAAGATAGTACTGGTCTGTGGTTGCCACCCTTCCTTGTGTAAGTAAATTTATTGCAATTGCAAGAACTGTGAGAAAAGCTATTAAATAAACACATAACACTTATGTTTGAATTGGATTAAATATTTAATTTGAAAAATTGTTTTTAAAACGCTTAGACCTGTATTTGGAACTGGGGAATCAAAACATTTGATTAGAAAGGCTTTTATTCTCTTTTACTCATACACTGGCACCACAATGCTAGTATGTGGCCAGAAGATTACATTTTTTCCTTAGCAGCAGGATCCTTACAACAAAATAAACGGAAGTGCACTCACCATCTTTATCTCCTGCACTCATGGCACTCCAACCTCTAAGAACAGACATTTGACCTTCTGATCTCAAGTCTGTTATATCAGGTGAAAGAGCTTTTGAACCATAGAATTTTGCTCTGAATGGTGTTGAAACAAAAGCTGGAGAGCAACATGAGTGCGACACTACCCTTCAGGGAAGACTGGCAATTAGTTTGTTCAGTTGTTTGCACACACCTGCGCTCCAGGTTCTCCACGGTCACCCTTTTCACTCTGAGAATCACCAACTGGACCCTGTAACAAAAATATCCCCCAAATGCACCAAAATTAGAGACTCTAAATTAATTTAATCTTTTAGCACTTTCTTATCTTCAGTAGTTATAAAAGTGAAGTGCAATTAAACTGTTATTAATAGCTTTTCATTAAAGGTCAGAACAAGGTAGTATAAATATCAGCCTCTGAGGAGTGCCATTTACTAGGTGATACTCCTCGAATGTCAGGATTTTCAGGATTTATTCCACTTACCGTAAATCCCACTGGCCCTGGGGGTCCTCTCGATCCTTTTTCTCCTTTCTCTCCTTTCAAGTCCTATCACAAGGAAAGTCAATAAAGTACCTTGGATTTTTCTGTGCTCAGTATTTACAAATAGAAAAACTTTATATTACCAACAAGTTAATGTAAGCAGAGATAGTTCTACTTGAGCAACTGAGACAGGAACTACATCTAGGTGTTCAGTCTATATTGTCTGAATCAGGAACTGGCTCTGCATTTATTGCTAAATATGAAGACTTCTAAAGGACCTTCCTGTGGCTGCACAGAGAAGCATGGCAATAAATATCCAAAGGACCAACAGTACATCCCAAATGAAAAACAAATAAACCTTCATTGCTCAGGGGAGATGCAGTTGCCTCCAGTGTGTCAATGCTAGCAACTAACCACACGATCCACGCCTCTCTTGGCTCAAGATTAGGTACACAGTATAGTATACCTAATCCTTAGGTATACTATATCTGTACTATACTGTAAGGATACAGTATAGTACAGTACTACTATGTAGTAGGGCACAGTCTAAGCTCACTATAAAACCAAAGTTTAGCCACTGCCTACCTAATATCTGGTTGGACTTATGCCCCAAACTATACATGTCATATGTATCAGGAATTTTAAGGGTTTTTTTGTAGTTTTGTTTGTTTTTCAGTCTGTAGTGCTCTATGCCTCTGAAAAATAGCCATTCTCCCATGACACGCTATTGCAGCTGTGACTGTAAAATGCTCCAGGTGGTCAGCACTTGATTTAAACAGGAAGGAGTTGCTTCCCCTAAAGCTGAACTTTGATTACTCCTACAATCTCTCTCTATCTGTGCTGGAGCACAGATCATTCTTTTGTTTTAAAGCTCATAATAGAGAATGGGGATTGATAACTACAAGAAAATCAAATCAGGAAAACAGAGGTAAAAAAATCAGGGACAAAGAGCTGTTCAGTAAATATATGAAGACTTAAAATAACAGTGTAGTTGATGTACAGTTTTAAGTTCTTTGAGAACAAAATAGATTTTTGGGTCGGGATTTACCAAGCAGTATTTAAAATGAAAGTTGAATCACAGTATTTTTTTTCCTCAAATACTTAGTTTTTCCAAAATTTTCTATGAGTACCCCTGTTCCATTAAAAGAATAAGAAAATAAATGCTTAAATGTATACAAGGATGTTGTAAGCTTTTCTGAAATGGATGTAGTAGCTAAGAGTATTCCAGTGACAAGCCCCAGAGGTCAACACAGCTCTGGCTTTGAAGGCTATTCAGAAAATCCATGTTGGTTTGGTCAAGCCAGAAGTGATTTACTTTTCATGTATTCAAGCAATTCCACAACAGGAGGTTTCCTAATAATCATTTAACATTCCACTAGCATCATGCAGATGGGCATATGAATGCACAGGACTCAGCTGAGCTGGCTGCACAGACATGCTCTAAGAAGTGCTTTACTACCTCAATAAACAAGTCAGAAAATAGGTCAGCATGGGTGAAAGGAAATATCAGTTGAACAGCAAAGATGAAGATGCTTTTCTTGAAGCACAGAACAGTATAGATGGCTTATCTGTATCTGATCATAGACAAACTTTACTACCGTCATGTTGTCTGGTCCACTTAATGTCACAATGACAGTTCCTGGTGGTCCAGGGGGTCCAGTTAATCCAGTGTCACCCTGAAAAAAAATTAAGCAGTTGGAAAAAAAAATACTGTTCTTGTTTCAAATCACTATCCCTATATTTTCAAATTTCTGAAACGTTCTCTGTTGTTACACTTAACCATTAATGAATTTAATATTTCTCTTTACTTGCTACTTACTTTCACTGACAAAAAGGCCTATGGAGGATTTAATACTTCCACAGCAATCTTTTTCTGATTGAGAAATTAAAAAATGTTTATACTCATTCATGTTAGAGTATGTAGAATTAGCTTAAAGTACTTTAAATTATTTAATTTACCCAAAAGCTATATAAGCCTTTTAGCTGCAAATCACCTAAAATATCCCAGTGCAACTATTGTCATTTTTCTCCAAGTCTGATACAATACATGCATCTTCAGTGACTTGTGCAAAATTACAGTCTACATACTGCAAGTATAATTGTAACATATTACTGACAGCTGGCTGTCAGTACACATATTACATATGCATGTAAACACAGGCATATTACAACTGGCTTTCATGGTTTTAAGGAATTTTAAGTGTGCACCTGAATCTTAACTGTAAAGAAAACAATACTCCATAAGAAAGCCAGACACTCCATAGCCTTCTGAGCTAAGGTTCGCTTAATGTCATCCACTCAGAAAATTCTTCCTGGTAATAACTACAGTATTAATCCCACTTTCAGATAATGCTATGAACATTAAAACTGGGGGAACATTAAAACTTTCTACGGATTCCTGGCAATTGCATGATTCAACCCTAAGAAATACAATATTTGTTCATAGACATTTCTCTCGTATTTAACACAAAGTTAGAAATCTTAGAAAGATTTGAGTTTTTCTGGCATCATGAGGGCAGACATAGAAAATATGAAGGTCATAAGAAGGTGCGAGTCTACAGATGCTATAAATTTATGAATGTTTACCTACCTGGATAAGCATTTAAAAACTCTGTGCTAATGACATATACATCACTTTAATGAGATATGTTAGTAAATATTTAAACTGCTGGCTCCTCAGAAACTATCAGCCTGTTTCTACCCTTCTATAAGGAAGTTTGTATCATCATCTCTTAAATGAAAACAGTTTGTCCTTAGATATTGCTATGCTCCCATCTTCAAAAAAAGGGTTTACATGTATCAACTGAAAACTAGTTTACAGTACTTACTTCTCCAAACAGGTCACCAGAGTATATAACAAAAAGCAGAAAGTGGAAACAAAACTTAAAACATGTTTTAAGCATTTTATAAAGTTACCTTTCTTCCTTTGTTTCCTATTACTTTCATTCCCATGAGACCCTGTGACAGAGACATAAATGTTAATGCTTTTATTTAAAAAAAATTAATAAAAAGTATAAATTGATGTTAAATTAAATAGGAATCTTTCATTTTTATTACCAATCTGAGACTACCTTAGGTCCTGGAGGTCCTGCTCTCCCTGGCATTCCCTACAGAAAGAAAAGATGCTTAGTGTAAAATACTACAATCTTCAGCACCAGTTCAGGCCATTTGATGGGGTGAGGGCATTTCCATTTTCTCTACCAAGTTCTACACATGAGGTTTCAAGTACACAATTTTTGCCTGTGTTAGATCACACTTCTATTCATTATTCTACCTTTACAACCGCAATTTGTCATGAAAGCAAGGGACAGCAGAATATTTTCATGGTCTGGTTCTCTCTTACAGTTCTATCCATTAGTATGTAATGTGAATTTATGAATAATAATGATAAATGAAAATTTACTCATAACTGGATGAGAATACTTTTGAAAATGTGGAAATTATCAAGCATAAAAATAACAAAAAAATGGAAAAAAAAATCAGGGGTGTGTGTGCGCGTGTGTCTGTGCATGAAGGTATGGATTTCACATACCCACAGTTCATACTCACTGAAACTCCTGGAGGGCCCTCTGGTCCAACATCCCCAGGATATCCTTGAATACCCTGAGAACCCTGTATATTAAAAAAAGGGAAAAAAAGCCTCAGCAAGATTATGAAGAATTCTCTTCACTAAATTTAATTAAGTGAATAAGAAACAGAGAAGCAGCATTGGTTTTGATTTCCTTTTCATATCTCAGGATAATACATTTATCACTTATAAATTTATAAACTAAAAATATTCATTTGTGCATTTTTAATTTAATTCCTCCATTTATTGTTAGGTATCCTCCATTTATTGTTAGGTTTCAAAGAAAAATGTACTCTTCATCTTCTATCAATCTATGTTTTTTAAGTATGGATCATAATGTCTCGTATTAATTAATTATCAGCTTCCCTAGAAGTTGAGCAAGACTAATCTTTCCAGTGTTACCTCATATGGTAGTTGTCTTCATTTCAAAAAAATTTTTATTAATATCTTTCGTATCTTTTTATAGATGGGGTGATCAGGGCTGAAAACAACAGTCTGTGTTGAGCTATATCACTGAAGGTCACAAAGACATTTTAGTTGACATTTTTTTAAATGCTAAGTATGCTAATAATTTCTTTGCTTTTATGTCATCTCTTGCCACCTAGGATGTCTTTATTAAACTGCTAACATAGATACCCAGTTTTATTTTTCCTCCGAGTAAAAAAAAAAAAAAAAATGTGATAAGTTGATCAAATTATTCCTTCCAAAGTATATTAATGTGTATTCATGAAAACAATTTCCCTAGCAAGCTGCATGTCTTGCTGGTTTAACTGCTTCACTTCAACATACACTAGAATTTTCACTCATTTTGTTAACTTTAAATCATTATAGATGATTACTCATGTTGTCTGCCTCCTGACTTTTGCATCCTACTTTACTAACGTGATTTACTAACTTCTCATTCTGATAGCAAAATTCATTACTACTGACTTTGGGTACTCTTTAAGTGTTGAAAAGTCATGAGAAATCTTTTGTATATATTATATTAGATATATAATATGAAGTTAATAATATTTAGAGAAACAGTTATTTTCTGATAGAAAACTGATTTTCTGATAGAAACTAATGATACATACTTCTAAATTTTTTATACGCACACATATATATAGAAATAAATATCCCACTGAAGTACCTGAACTCCACGCACTCCTGGCAATCCAGGGTCACCTTTTGCACCATATCCTTGGTTATGGCCATCTGCAGGACACCCCTGGACAATTAGGGGGGAAAAAAAAAAAAAACATAAGGTTATGATGTAGTAGTCTTTACAGATCTTAAACTTGAAGTCTGTTAATACAGAATGTGTGTGGGGGGAAAAAAAGAAAAAAAAAAAAAGAACGAGAATTCCATATAAATTCCAAACAAATGTACCATTTTCAGCCATATCATTCCTGTTGGTTAGAAGTAGTCTTAATTTCAGACATATATACTTCTCTTATCCATGATTCGAACCCTTTTATTTATTTATTTTTATTATTGATACCGTAGAGTATGTTAAAAGGGGGGGGGGGGAAAAAAAAAAAAGTATCTGTAGAATTCCATACAAATTTGTACGCTATTTTGGAGAGGGGCTTAGTTCTTCATGTGTTTTAAAATGGATAAACTTATTACATGCAATGATAGTATTTAAAGGAAAAAGATAGACTGTGTTGTACTGCAGGGTGGATGCCATTAACACACAGCAGGCACCAGAGTTTGTGGATTCACCTGGAAAGTTAACCTTCTATTTATTGCCAATGAAGACATTAAGAACTCTTCTCCAGCAGCAAAAATACATACAAAATTTTGATCATCAATAAATATTTCACACAATATACTGTAAATAACTGACCTTTTCCCCTTTCACGCCAGGGATACCCTAGAAAGAAGAACAATAATCATAATACAGAAAAAGGCAAGAAAGACAACAGTGAAAGGACACATTCAAACTATTCTCCAAGTGCAATGATCTCCACATCTCCACAACGACAGCCACATACAGGTTTGCTGTGCCGGACTTCAATTTCAGAAGAAATGATATATTGTTGAAAAACAGCCCAGTCTTTCAGCGTCACTTTTAGAAGCCTGATCTTTTCATTAGATCTGATGTTTTCTGAAGCCTGATCTTAAAGAAAAAAACACCACCAACAAGAACAAAACAGGAGTGCTAGTGGAGTATTAAAGATCATGTTTAGAAAGTACGTAGAAATATGATAGTATTTGAAGGCAATGGAACTTGACAGGCAGCATTCCTTATACCATTTGTTGCTTAGAAGCAATTTTAATATATACCAGTTTTAAAGCAATGAAGCCAAAATCAGATGACCTTGCTTTGATTCCTTGTTTTGTCATTGGCTTAATTAGGCTCCATCTCTAAAGATATTTGGATTTCAATTTCACTTAATGCCTATTAAATACATATTGGACACTTTTTGAAATTTGAGTGGTAAATCTTCACAAATATCTCTTGACACTGCAGTACTGCAACTTGAGACACTAAAGAGCTAACAGCAGATGATGAATTTGCAAGCATTCATTGCCTAAGTCAAGGTCCAGCATGCATCAGATTAGACACCACCCAACTTCTGTTTCTTCTCCTTATAGCTTTTATATTAATAAAATAGGATACCTATATTTTTCAACCCGTAAGTAAGTGCTGTTAGGACCAGTTAATCTGAGGCTTGACACTCTTTCAGAGAATGGCTGTATCTAGCTGAAATGCACACAGTCACAAACTGCACAGGCACTTACTGGAACACCTGCAGTACCTCTTCTACCTGGAGGACCTGGAAAACCTCGATCGCCCTGGAAGTAGCAAGGGTCACTGATTTTAGTAGAAGCAATTATGAAAGATGTTTCTACATTATCAGGTTAAAACTATAAGTTGCATTATCATTAAATTTGCTAAGTGGGTCACAGTCTGACTATGCGTGTCTTGATCTCTTGCCCAGGGATCAGGCCTTCTTGGCTGCGTTTCACTAGAAAATTATGATTCTCTATAATGGGCATTCTTCTGACTTTCAGAGTGCTGAGACTTATAAGCAAAGCAGAACAAGTAAACAACTTGCAACATTATATTATGTCTTTCTTATTACTTCCTTTCACAATGTATGAATTATCAACTACAAGCTAGATATAATCTCTCAATAGAAAGACTGGTTAGACTAAATTGATTAGATTTCTGAACTTTTAATGAAACAATTTTTATCTGTCAAAGCAGCAAATACCAGGACATTCATTTTTTTTTAAAGAGAGACCATTAACATATACTACATTATCTGTCTTATACACTAAGGCAGCATTTTTTTCTCCCTGTTGCCATTGTCTTGATTTAATATTGTTCTAGTGAATAAAGGCATAAACCAACACAAATTAAAACTGCTGTATATCAGGGGAAAAAATGAGGAATGCTTTTTGGCTACTCCTATGCCTAGTCAAATACAATCCTCACGCTCATAACATACAGCTTGATTTCTACCTTCGTGCCATTGCAGCCTGGAACACCCGGGCGCCCAGGAGGACCAACAGTTCCCGGCTCGCCCTACAAACAAGTGCAAAGTTGACACAAGCTTTGTTTTTGCACATTCATATTCCTTTACAGCAACACTGAAACAGTTTATTTTCGATCAGACCTTCACAAAGACTCAAACTATAATGTGTTCTTCAACCATTACAACTGAAAAAGAATTGCTGATGCTGAGATCGTTATCTCAAGGTTAATTGATAGAGACAATGCTGATATTGACACTAGAATGAGCATGTTTGCTTGAGGACATTTGCGTAGTCAAGACTGTGTTAAGAGATAAATTGGTTAAATCGGATTTGTTTTTACTTACTGGAAGACCTGGGGGGCCTGAAAATCCAGGTATTCCCGGGATTCCCTAATGATATAAAAACAGAGGTAGAAAGTTATTAGGGAAAAGCTCATGATGCATTTTTATTTTAGTCTACTTACGAGAATAAATTTGAGTACTATTCTTTCTAAAGATTGTTGTTTCACTATCTTCCTTGATGTAACTTCCTCTGAACACATAGTAAGTATAATGGTAGCTTATGAACTATTAAACATAGCTAAGTCATCCCCAGAAACAACCCCCTTCCAACAGCCCCTTATGGAATTCTGGTTGGACTCATTCACAGCATACATTACTACTAAATGCATACAGCATGAATTCTGTATACAATGTGTAAAAAAAATTATAAGAAGTAGAGAGTCAAACATTTTTAAAAAACATTAAAACCATGATAGTGTACTGTTTTCATCTTTTACAAAGTATTGAATCAAGTTAGCATTTAACATTAATATATTTAAGTTTGTTTAAAATAGAAATACTTACTCGTATACCTTTAGATCCAGGTAAGCCCATAAGTCCTGGAGAACCCTAATCCACAAATAAAAGTAAAAAAATGTATTAATTTATTTCAATTGCACATATAACAATATAATACGCAGCAATTTTTAATACTAGTACCAGCATGTGCATAAGCTTCAGATCAGGAAAAGCTACTTAGAATACACTATGATCTACATTCAGACTAATAGACGCCCTTGCTATTTAAATTATCCTTATTTCTTGCCATCTTTTCAGAGTTATCATTACTATTATTAAAAAAAAAGTATTATTAGAATAGTATAATTAGCATTATACAAAACAATACTAAGGAAAGTAAAAGGAATTAGGATAGACATGTCACTAAAGCCTCTTTCCCCATATGCTAAGCAACTGTAACACTTGATGCTACTTAAACAGTGCATTCCCTCTGGCAGTTCGGTCCAGATGCTTTATCACTGTCCACCAGATAACTGAAACAAACCCCCACATTCACATCAGCTGCTCGGTCAGAAATGGACACTGATGCTGGTGAGCACACACACCTACCCCATCGAATGGGAGGCTCTGAAAAAGGTTTCCTTCTTGCACAGCATTTTTACCTCTGTCACTACTCTCTCTCACAGACAAGCAGAGTCTCTCTCACATACACACACACACAGATGGAAACGTACCTTAGGTCCCTGTGGCCCTGGAGGCCCTTCTGGGCCAGGAAAACCTCTAACACCAACTGGACCAGGAATGCCAGGGAAGCCTTTTTCACCCTGTAAACACCAAGAGAAAGTAGTTCTTAAAACACCTTTGAATTCTCCTTTCAATAACTTATTCCCAAGGTTTTCATTGCTTTGTGTACCTCAACTTATACTTTTCTAGTAACAGATTAGACTATGCTTGACCATACTGACCTGCTCTCGTGGTCAGTCCTGCAGTATCACTGAACTAACACACTCGTAAGCATTGGTGAAGATGCAGCAGATGTCAGTACAGATGTCAAGTTTCTGCAGAGCACAGAGTTAACTAGCAGCAGGACAAGTTTATTACGCAGCTTGACAGCCATGCCTTCTTACTGCTTCTGCATTGGGCTTAGCCCACAGGAACAGCCCAAACCTGAATCCATCACGGTGCTCCCAATTTCTGTTTAGCAAATTGAATGGCTGCTGCTGTACGGAAGGGTCAGTTCCAAACTACCACTGCAAACCTCTTTATGCAAATCATGTAAAGAAACAGTGCGAGTCAAGTACAATAAAATGGTTTATTTAGAATAAAAAGGAATTTCCTACAAGAGTCTTTATTTATTTATTTATTTAACTTCTGAGTCTCAGATATTAAGCCACCAACCCCTTTTTATATCTTTTTAAGGTCAAGAGTCAAATGACCAAACCATGCAGAGGAAACACTGAAGATTTAAGCTACACAAACAGAATACTGGAGGCTAAGTTACAGTTGCTGGGATATCCTCAATTTTTTGTCTTGGCCTTGTGAAAATACAGTGCTTCAAGCTTAGAAACTCACACACACAAAAAAATGAAGCCCTACATATAGCAGCAACTCAGTATGCTCAATTTTACATCAGTGAAGAGCTGCCTGTTCAAGGCTTTTTCAGCACAGCGTGACATAGAACAGAGAGGATGGAGTTATCAGTTCTCTCAGATGCAGTTTTCTTATGGCTTTATCAGAGAAGAATTACACACACACACACACACACTCCCCCAAATAGACTAAATGTAAAACAGCTTCTGAATTTAAATATATATATAAGCATAGAGGATAATCCTGGAGTATCTGAACACAGCTGAAAGTTGAAGAGTACATTGTGAAGTACCTTTAAGCTGTGAATTATTAAATGCTACAGCTCTTTACAACAAATAATTATTTCATCTAATATAGTCCAAGAAAGGAAAATAAATAAATAACAAAAAACTAACAAAAACCTATACCAAGATCTGCCACCGGAGGGAGTGAGGAACTAAAGTACAGAAAAATGAATCAATTCCTCTGTTTGCCATCTACAGAGCGGTCATCTGCTCTTCCAAACACCTTCTCACAGCTCTAGAGAGTGCAGACAATTTTATCCTTGCTTTCTTTTTGACAAATCAGCTATGGTCTCTGACAATTTCTTAGGATGCTAAAGTTATTAAAACATACCAATTAATTTAATTGCCTTTATTTGCCAGAACTGCCTGTAAACCCCCATCAGGGTAAACCATTACTGTTACCTTTCAAGTACTCAGATGATTAAATGTGCAACTATTGAAGATAAGTAGCTGGTGTTCCTTTTTATTAATACTTTTTAGTGGGCAGTTTAAGAGGTTTTTTTGTATTTTTTAATTGGTCCAGATTTATACTGATTAGCACAAAGTCATAGAAACTAAGAAAATCAAAATATATCAAGATTTTAATAATGACGATTATTCTCTTAAAATATGTTTTAATAATAAATTTAGATAAGTTTTCTCCATCACTGAAACTGAGCTTCTAAAGGCAGGGAAGTGTACTTATGACATACTTACGGAAGTCAATAGACATACTTACTGGGCAGTAAAAATACAGGAGTAAGATATAAGCAATTTTCTACCAGATAGATGTATGGATCAGTGAGAATAGGCTGGAAATTATTTTAAGATTTAGGTATGCAAAGCACTGTGTCCAAAATTACCCTAAATTGCAGCCATAATCTCTTTAATAATGTCACCTTAATTTTTGCATCAGAAACTCATTCCTTGTCTTGGGTCTGCAGAAGACTTATCTATTTAATACCAGCACACGCAGCTTCCCTTTGCGGTCCAGGAAAGGTTGGGAGCTGTGCAAGATCCAAAGACAGAAAGGAAGGCTCTGAACAGGACTCTGTTCAGGACAATATGAAATCTGTAATTGGAAAGCTGTTGCCAAGGTAATGCCGTCTGTGGGCATTTGTTAAGGGCTTGTAAAAGGGCCCTGCTGCTTCAGGCAGCTGCTCTGTTGATACTAAAAACCACCTTATGCATGAAGTAATGCATTTGTTTTCCATTATAAAATATGAAAACATCATCTTAGTGAAAATGTGTCTGTAGAGTTATTTTAAGGGCTATTTTGTAAGGTAAAACAAACAACACCAGCAAACAATTATATCAGCAAGCAAATTTTAGTTTATACCAGCAACCTCAACCTGTTTGCTGGTATAAACTAACCTTAAGAATGAAAAAATGTATTTCCTCTTACCTTATTACCTTTCATGCTGTCACAAAGGCAGGGACTTTTACCTTTGCACACACAGTTCTGTAAAAGATGGAAAATTCATAAGAAAATAATTTATTTTACTGTGTTCTTTGATGAAGGACAAGTCAGATCTCACAGTTTTTATTAAGATGTCTGTTTAAAGTCTTCTTGGAGGGCAGCATCTCTGCTGCAGTATCTATGCAGTATCTCAACCTCTGTTTGGCTCTGATCTCTATTGCAAAAAATTTTGCAAAAACTCAATAATTAAGAATATATTTTTTATTGTTCACACTGAAATTAAGTAAGAAAAACAGAAGTTGAAGGAAGCTGAGCATGTAACTGAGTAGACAGCATGATTCTAAACTAACTAGCACCTGTACTAGGCAGTTTTAGGGGTGTGAAATTCAGCTGCACTACAAAACATGTCTGAGATCCTGGGTGAACACAAGAATAGTCAACCTTTCTAAACCCTCTTCCTGCTACAGCTCCCACGTGCTTTAGCCCAGGCCCGTTAGCACATATCTACAAAGGGTATTTCCACAGTCATGCAGACATGGCCTGTGTCACTAGAATGGAGAATAATAATAATCCATTATTAAGACAGTACTATATATACATTAAAATACCATTATGATTATCAAAAATTATGTATGCCAAATAAATATGGAATAAATTGCATTTATAGTCCTTCTTTGTATGCTTTAACTGTTCCCTTCTTTTGTGAAACTTTTGCTCAATTATTTCAATCGCATCACTCCAGGAAGCAAAGGCTATTTTTCAGTTCATCCCCTCATTTTAGCACCTATTTGCCTATCACTATGACTTATTTAGTGGTACGCTTCCATTTAACGTGGGACCAAATATCATATTCTGGTCATAAGGGTTTTTTTTTTTTTTTTTTTTTTTTTTTGAGTTGTATGAAACTCATAAGAAAGAACAACTGCAATTTACTTACAAGATCACAACTTTTAGGATGGTATGGTATGGTATGAAAAAAATCTATTTAGATCTTGAAGACAGAATTAATTAACCCCTACAGCTGGTCATGATACAACAGCAGCACTGTTCCAAATTTAAAACTTTTCCAGTGGCATTCTCAAAGAACAGAAGACAAAATAAGAAAGGAAAAAGTGTTCTCCATTATGTTTTAAAAGGATAATGTCAGTGCCAGTACATTTGAATCTTCCTATATGTAATATGTTTAGGTAAAACATCTTACAGAATTGGAAAACATCTTTCAGACAGTCCCTTTCTTCCCACAAACAGGAATCAATTTCATCTATCTTCTTCACTCAGAAATGAGCTGCCTGGTCTCGGGAACCCTGCCTTCATCTCCTGTACAGCTGATCTTGTCTGTCTCTCTCCACTGACTATGGAAGGAAACTCAACATCTGGATGGGAATCACTCTTTCAACGCCTCTTGCAGAAAGGAGAGAAGATGCTGCAGGTACCTGCCTTTTGACTAGGCAACCAGTGACAGCAGGTGCTGCTCTTTTAGGTGCCTGAGCCATTCTTTTTAGGAGACACGAATCCATACAGCAGATAACCAACAAGAGAACATCTATTTAAATATTCATTTACCAAATAAAATAAAGTGGAATCTCTAGCCATAAGAAAACAAATCCTCTAAGAATTTATTATGTCTATGTATTCTTACAGATGGATTAATTGGTGAACGATATTTCTAGTGAGACTTCTAAAGAGTTATAAGCATTAAATACTTAAATCCTTGGCATACATAAAGAAGCTTCTTTCTTCCACCTGATCCAAGAGCTAGAATCAAATAAAGAGACACTGTATCAGAAATTGGTAAAACTAATTTCACATGTAAAACAGAAGGCATCTGCCTATGCTACCTTCATGGGAACAGGTAAAATGAGACAGAGATGGTAATGAGCTGATACTCGTTCACTGATTTCTTTTTGGAGTTATATAAATGATGACACAGTAGTCTGGGTATCTTTGCTTTTCCCAGATCAAGAGAAGATCAGAATAGGTCATTATTAAAAATATACATACATTTATATTAAACCACTGTACTAGGAGAGCACCCAGAAAGGGATGTTTCTGCAAGACCAGGAACGATCTTCTTTAAACAAGTTTCAGATGAAGCCTTGGTAGATACCGGGAGCTTTGTTCAGTGCCATGCAGTATTATCACTGCCAAGAACAACATTCAGAGGAAAGCTGAGATAAAACTAAAGGTATTCTATTAGAATACAGTAATCTGGTTGAAGTGGGACTCAAATTTACAGTTTTGATCTGACTGGTCTTTAATTTCATGGATGAACTCCGCTGATTCTAGATCCAGTTCTGGCTGGCATAAATCAAAATTAATGTGCAACATGGGAGATTTTAAAACAAATTCATTAATTATAAAGGCCACTGGGAATAATCCAGGTGTCTTCTTTCAAGCTCATGCTAAAGCCGTCACTTCCCTGCCTAAGCAGTTCTCATGGCTCGCCAGGCTCACTATTAAAAACTCATGTCAAATTTTTCATTTAAACTTTATTTTTATTAGGTATCACATATCCTCTCATCAGCCCTCATCTTCTAGGGTCACTGAAGAAAAATTACATTAAAAAAATGAACATGCTGGACAACATCTATTTTTCCTGTAATATGTATTTTTTTCACCATTTTGCCAGGAATTCAGGTCTTCACAAAAATCCCATCTAAGTAGAAGTATCAGCTCATTTCCACTTTTCTACAATTTTTCTACCATTCTAGTCTTTATTAAAAATTAAATATCAGCGAGTCAATTATTTTTAGGAACTTAATTATGAATTTTCAGGACTGCTGACACACTGAGATTTCTGCATTCTTCCTGGCTGCCTCCGTGCAACGCAGTCACTTTACACATTCCAGCTATAAACCACAACCGTGTGCAGCAGATAATATTACTCAAACAGTTGATGTTGATATGCTCCTCACAACTACAAAAGGGTCCATTTCTCTAAAATTCTCTATGTTTTCTATTGCATCTAATAAAAGTGGATGCAAAACATCGTGGTACAGATCATTACAGTCAGGGGAAAACTTTTCTTCAGCATTTATCTCCCCTACAGACTTGTGCTGGGACAGGTGTGCTGCACAGGAGTATGAGATGCTGCAGTTTCTGAGGGACATCATGGTGCTAGCTAAAGCCTCTAGCTTGGACACAATTTTGTTCTTGTCAATTTATCCTAACCTGCTCAGACAGAGCACCTGAGAGCAGAGCTCTATAGAAAAGCGTTCCTACTATGGAAAAAGCTATAGAAGGAAAGATCTTCTCAGTTTAAGGTGCACTTCTCTTAGAATAGATAAACAGACTAGCCAAGTTAGTGATACTATCTAGACATCTGTAGGTATGTGAGCCTGGCAGCATATCCCTCATGTTGCACAACTGTAAATCACCATCGAGCATAGAAGGTCCCGGAAAACCAAGTCCCCTCACTCCCAAACACTGCTATCAAAACAAAATACCAGTCTCACAATTACAATCTGTATACTGGAAGTTTTTCATGCATTCTAAGCATCAAACATGAATTCATTAAAATTATCAAAGACCACTACGAACCTTATGTTTTTTTTAGTGATCACTGGACCAGTACAACAAAACCAAATTATTAAACCTTCAATAAATATAGACAACATCGAGCACAAATAGAGATGAGGAGATGAAGGAAAATATGTCAGTTCCCAAACCCTGAAACATTGTGTAGTCACTTGTGAACTGGAAGGAAGCCAGACATTCCTACCTTGGACGACTCCTGTTAACACCAACGTATGCAACCAGAATTCAAATCATTTCACCTACCAGTGGAACATCTAGAGCTTGACAAAAACTATTTAATTCTGCCCTTCCATCAAAAAGAAATACACCTGCAACTTTAACAGCTCAGTCTGTAATGTCTTATGTAGGGAGAACTGATCTCAATGGACATGACAGAAGACACTGCAATGTTACAGACAACACGGCACTTATTCAACAAACTTCATTAAACACTTGCAGTGGGAACTCTTCTCAACAAATAACTACTGAGTCAATAGCCCTTCTTGGTGACATGGACCTTGTATTACTGCCTATGTGCTGCAAAAGAGCATTCATAATCATAGGAAAAACAAACAAACAAACAACCCACTCCATAACACTTCACAATAGGAGATTGTTTTTGACTAGCTTAAATTTTATTGCAGAAGACAGAACAAGGATTGAAAACCTAAGAAAAAGTAAAACAGATGGAAGATTTAATATAACTTCCGGTATCTCTTAGCTGTGTTTAAATGTGATAAATCATGTTCTTTGATTAAGCTTACTAAATACTGGGGTTTTTTTTGTTTTTTTTTTTTTGCTATGAATGAGCCTGTCTGTATGGGGTTTCTAAGGAAGCACTACAGCATAGTTGCTTATAGGAGTATACCATTCCAACACCTCACTTGTACTTTCACACACAGCTTCCACAGTGCCAAATGTATTCTTGTCCAGGCACATTCAGATTCCAGGCAATTAATCACATGGACCTTCTCCCTCCTCTCCTGCATGCTGATAGTCAAGAACTAGAAAGCAGGTGAATGGTAGGATTCAGAACCTCCAATGAGCAAATGATTACTCTGGAACAACATAGGTAAAATGTTTTCATTTAGCAAAAAATACCTCGGTGTATACACTATCTTAAATTGTTAGTGAACTATATAGCAATGTCCACTAAGGCTTGTGTTGTAGACGCTGCCTAAAATTACCCAGCATCTATGTAACTAGACCTGGCATGTTGTGGGTATTTTTGGAAAACAGTCAGTTGAAACTCTCAATAGAATCTCTCTTGTTTCTGTATGTTGCTTATGTTCTGTGAAGAGCAAAAGACATAGAATTACTTCTCCTTTAAACAGTGAAAGATGGCTTTCTAACTTCTGCTAAGAACACAAGAAAGTTTTCATATCTATGTTTACAATGACCAATAGCTTAACTCTACAAATAATCTCACTAGAGTGAAAGTCACTCTGATTAGGGCTATCAGAAGCTGGACCACACTGTTCATGAGATATTCAGGCTACTAAAATCTCCAGGGCCCTCCAGCACTGCTGTGGGTTTCATCTCCTGACCTAGAACTCTGTTGAAACAACACAAATAAATAAATAAATATTCTTTCCACAAGCGAAAAGGATCAGGCAATTCAAGATATAGCATTGTGTTTTGTAGCAAACTCTTATAGACACTTAACTAGCTTGTTCAGCTGCTCTTGCTCACTAATATGCTCCACACACTTGATGCTAGCAGAGGGTGATCTTAACACAACAAAGAATAGATATCACGAGCTAGTGAATTCTGGCTAGCACTGCATCAAACAATCTGTAGGTCTTGTCAACTGTTGGGTGTGCAAACAGCATTCACTGTAACTGCTGTCCTTTCAGGCCCATGTATTCATATATTCATAACATTCCTGATGTACATCTTGAGTAGTGCAAACAGTAATGAAAGCAACAGTAGCTTGTTCAGGGAAAGCTTATCATGCATGCTTTGCTTTCTCCTTTTCTGAAAGGCTCTAAGATTTTAAAAAGTAACTTTCTTGCAATTCCTTACTAAATAGCATGTGGAAAAGTGCAGCTCCAGTTAAAAAACCTTCATTGAACCAGGCCAAGTAGAAGACTTGAAAAGTTGCAAGACTTGTACTCTATCACAAAACTGCTAAGTTGAGACAAACAATCAAAATAAAGAAAAAAAGAATATAGCAAAAGTGGATTTTTTTCTCCATTTCTGAGAAACAGGGATTACAAACAGTTAAGAAGAAAAAAGCCTTTTTGTATTCCACTTTCTTCCTAGGCTCCGGTAATCCATGCCAACAAACTGAGCCTTCTAGTATTACTCTGTTAGGCAGTAGGGTGAGAATGTGACAGCAGAACAGATGACCGGACATCTCATACTAGTTGCAAAGTTTTTTGTTTCAAAGACACGTTATGATAAACCAGCTCTAAGTCTTCCAGAAGAGATTGCTAGCCCAGATCTCAAAACAAAATGCTGCTATATCCACATAAAATGCAAAGCAATCAAGAATTAATTTTGATCATTTGAATATTGTTTAATCAATAAAAAAAGCTCAGATCACATAGTTTTGCTTAAGCATGTATTTAACCTGGGCATTTTAGGGGAAGGAAAAAAAAAAAAAAAGAAAAAAGAAAAAAAGACACATCAAGCGTTAGAGTTGCACTTGCAGAGCTATTTCACTAAGACGACCACTCAAAATGAGGTTTTCGTCTTGTTGCAACTGTAAAATGCATCATACGGCTTGAACAGGACATGTTTCTTGGACAGCAGAGCAGGCGACCATGTGTGGTCTAAGACAGCGGTACCTGAGTGATTTTGATGCACTAACATTTGGGCAAATCTGCTATTCATGCTCAATGTGACTTGGCTAGGTAGGGCAATACTGTTCTGCAAACACTCTGACATTAGCCTATTTCTCTGTGCTGATGATTGCTCCATTTCAACTAATCACAGAGGCAATCAGAATAAGAACCTAAGTTGGGCCAAATTATCAGAGCAACACTCGCATTGACTTCAGAGCCAGGATCATATTAACCAAATCAAAGAAGGCACTTCAAAAAGAACTTGTTTTTGTCTACCAGGCTCAGTGAACTCTCTTCTGTATATTCAGGTGCACATCTTTCCTTCACAGCTGCCTTGTGTGACAAAGAACCCAGGCACATCCGCACGCAGGCAGAGAAAGCCATTTTCACTTTGGCACTGCTTTTTCCCTCCAACATTCTCATTCCCAGTGAAACAAGGCAAGTCATCCTGTACCACTTTCTCCCTAGGCTAGGAGATGCTCACAGCTCAACCAGCACACTGCCCTTCTTTCTTCCAGAGACATATTTTAAGGCCAGTTTGTGTTAGCAGAATTATTTGCACATTACTAGGAAAAAAAAAAAAAAAAAAAAAAAAAGACTGTTGTATTTGCATGCGAATTTTAACATTATTAAAAAAAAAAAGAGGAATATAAGCACCTGCATTTACTAAGAGACAATAAGCATAAGTGAGAAAGAGAATTCAAAAGATATTTTCAAGTCCTACAGTCACTGAGTTTCCTATCACTCCTTTCCAGTACATGATGAAAACAGCATATTGATAACTACTCTAGCTTAAATATACATTCAGGAAACAAATTATTTCGGGGAGTGTGGGGAAGGAGGAATGGGAACCATCTTGTTCCAGAGGAAACATTTTGGCACTTTTTTATTGTTATTATTAAGTATTCAAATGAACAGTAGAAAAATCCGAAGAATTACATCAGAATCTGGTGTGAAGGCACACACCAAGCAAGCGGAAAAGTCTCCGATATGGGAAGATGTGGAACTCTGCTGAGCTTCCAGACAATGCGATTAGAGCGTGCCAGGGGCTAAGAATGCGGATAATAACCCTCGCTAGCAGGTGCCAGAAAGTTCAAACTCCTCAGGGCAGGGCACACATCTCCTTGCTACTCTGCAGAGGTCTGCAGGCCCAGGTCTGCTACATAAATGTCAGAAGGCAAAATTAGGGATTTTCTTTCTTGCTTTCGGGAATCACAGGATGGTTGAAGTTGGAAGGGACCCCTAGACATCATCCAGTCCAACCCCCTGCTCCAGCAGGGACACCCAGAGCACGGGGCACAGGATCACAGCCAGGTGGATTTGGAAGACCTCCAGAGAAGGAGACTCCACAACCTCCCTGGGCAGCCTGTTCCAGGGCTCTGTCACCCTCACAGGAATGAAGTTCCTCCTCACACGGATATGGAACTTCCTGTGTTTCAATTTAAACCCATTACTCATTGATCTCTCACTGGCCATCACTGAGAAGAGTTTGGCTCCATCCTCTCTACATTTTCCCCTCACGTATTTGTACATATTGATAAGATCCCCTCTCAATTTTCCCTTCTCCAGGTAGGAATAAACTACTTATTGAGTTATTAAGAGACAGGAACTGCAACACATATCCCTGCTGTGCTGCAACATTTTGCATAGAGTAAAAATATTACTTGCTGATAAAGCATCAGTTTACTTATGTTACTAAAAGATAAACAATGACTTTTTTTTTGTAAAGAACAATCCAGTCAAGAGCAGTCGATTTACTCATCAATGAATCCATGTCAATTAACGTTAACCAGAAACATTTAATTAGGGCTTTTGATAAACATTTTGCTTTCAAGTTCCTAATTCCTTCATCCCCTGTAGAACTTCTTAGAATTAATTTTCTCCTTGGAAAATACCAGCATAATACCAGCATTCTCAGTCAAGAACAGAAAATTACAACTTCTGATTCTTAAATTGACCTCAGTTACTTGCTGCAAATCAAGTTTAATCTCAAAAAACATATTTTAGATCCTGATTTTTAGAGCAATATTGAATCAATACACTGCTTTCAAGCTTTGCCTCAACAGCAAGATTTCCATAGAAGGCACTTCTGACTCACCCCTATCTCGCCTTAGCGTAAGCAAGGCTCTAGTAATGCCCACGTTTCTCAAAAAAAATGGTATCTCCAAGCTTCATGATTTATCCTTAGCAGAAAGGCTGCCAACAAGCTAAGGATCAAGTGACTGCTAGACCTGCAAATATTCTGGGATTCTTCTGAAATAAAGTGCTGAAGAAGAATGCTGAAAAATGTTTTACTGGGACACATTTGGTGGTGCATAGAGCCACTTTGCCCTGCAGATGAAGGCCCAACACCGTGTGACACGACCGAAGCCACCAGGCAGCACAGAGGCTGCACAGCAAGGGCAGGCGTGCGGGGACGCATGGGTTGTGCTGGGGACAGCAGCAGCGGCTACTATAAAGCCTGGCATCGCAACGCCCCATCCTGAAGCCTACGTGCTGCTCACCGCGCCTCGGGGAGGCTCCAGCAGACGAGGACAGAAATGGGATAAACTGCAAAGGTGGGAGGACAGGACTTGGGCTTGTTCATTGCTTGCTTTCAAGTGACAAACAGATCTAGACAGAGCCTGGAATGACTTTGTAAAAAAAAAAAAAAAAAAAAAGTAAAAAATTCATGACTGAAAGTGGCAAATAGATCTTGCACCTCAGCTCTACATTTTTTTTTTTAACTAGTAAGTCTGCTTCTGATAACCTTTACCACAAGCACAGTATTTTGCTCTGTTTCTGTGATGATAGAGTAGATACTCAGAATTTCTACTTACAAAAGAACTGTAAAATATGTCGAAGGGCAGTAAGGAGTTTGGATGTAATCGGGACTGTCTCCTAGGACCTTAGAGCTCCAGAAGAGACAAACACCGGTAATTACAGCAGGAAAATCAGATCTGGGGCTGTAATGAAGCCGGCAGTTTTGGTATCTGGGAGAAGCACAGGCGCCAGAGCGCCGTTACTCCCGCGGCCGCCCCACGCGGGTAACGGAGCCTCTCAACAGCGCGGCCAGGGGAGCGGGCGGCGCAGCGGGAACCCGCGGGCGGCAGCGGCGGGGGAACCATTAAACCACCCGGCGGGCGCCGTGAGATCGCGCCGAGGCAGCCTGTGCGCTGAGCGCGACGGGCGCTACAGCGGGCGGGGGCCGCCGCGGCAGGTGGGGCGAGGCGCCGCCCGCTTAACGGCCGTTACGCGGGGCGGGAATCGGCCGTTTAACGGCCGCGCCCGGAGCGGTGCCACACGCGCGTGACGTGACGCACTTTATTTTGGCGAGCCCCTAAGGCGCCTCAGCTTCAACACCGCGAAGCGCCGTTTGGCGCCCCCCGTGCGAGCGCTAGGGCCGAGGCACCGCAACTTGCGCTGCCGCGGGGCCGCCGCGCTGTCCCGTCCCGTCCCGTCCCGTGCCGCGCTCGCTCACTCACCTCCGCCGCAGCGCGGCGGCCCGGCGCCAGCAGGGCGAGGAGCAGCAGCGGCGCCAGGCGGCCGGGGCAGCGGCCGCCGGCCATGTCGGCGCTGAGCGCTGCCTGCGCGGCGTCCCGCGGAGCTC